GTGTCAAGTACTGTGGAGTGCACGAGTCAGAAAGCACCCTTCATGTATTTAATGTTCAGTGAAAACAGCCATTAAGTGCAATTAATTCTGTTTTCAGGAGCTGTTTCTGAGATTTAATAGAAATAATCTACTTGCTTAAGGAAATAAATGGAAAAACAGGAGCAGCCAAAACTGGAGTTCAAAAATGATTAAAGGCCACCGGGGAAATGAGACTCCTAACAACCACCTGGAAGAGCTGGTAGATGGCAAAACTGCTCCCATCAGATAAACAGCATTAAAGCGTTAATCACTGAGAGATGCAAGTGCAGACATTTCAATAAAACATACTAATAACCGCATGAATTTTTACTATTTTGACCCTTAGGCAGTCGTGTACATCAGTACACTCAGAACAAAAAGGGTTCTTTATAGTACTGAAAAACAGTAACAGTGGAACAGTGCTATATAGAACTATTTTTAATGTTTTTCTCTTTTAAAGAACTCTATTAACTTGGTTTTTCATCATAGAGAAGAACTGTTTGACCATTCAGATGACCATTTATGCATTCAAATTTTACTTTGAGTGTTCTTGGTTCCATACAGAACCATTGCTTTTACTAAAGAACTCTTGACGAAACTTTTTTAAAGAATTTAACAGAAAGTCATTACACATAATAGATCAAATCTGACACTGGAGTTCATCTTTAAAGCTTTCATCTTTGAGAGAGAGGAGAAAATCAAGCTGCTTCAGATCTGAAAACATCCACAGGTGTTTCTGTCCATCCTTCCACTGTGAGAAGACGACTCAGCGCTATGGGTCTGAAAGGATGTGTAGCTGCCAAACTGAGAAAAGGAAATCAAAACTAGAGCACTAAAACTGGACATCTGGGATGGGAAGGACGGTTTTATGGACTGAAAAGTCTAAATTTGTAATTGGGATAAAGTTCTAAACCAACATTTAAGACTGAACTTTGGAAGTGTGGAAAAACATACCTCCAGATTTCATGCAAATCTCATAATAAATGAAGCTGTAATAAAAATAGCATTTTATGTAGTTGTTGAGACATAATTGTCTATTAAAATTATGTTTTCCTCTCTTTCTTGACCCTAAAAAATGAATAACTTGTTATTACTGACCATTCTGGCTGGTGATTATAATATAAAGCACTGACGTTACAATTAGAAAACATGCATATGCTAGCTGGGACTCAATCCTTGTAAAATGACTTTATTTTGTGAAAAATCAACAATAAAAAAGCAACATGGAATGAATAACCATATCGTGTACATGTACATATCAAAATCAAGCTATTAGAAATGTCATGACATCTGTGCCTACATAGTCTCCAAATAAACAAAATACAAAGTTGATTTCCAAATGAAACATCACGAAAATACATGTATGGCATACAGAGAACACAAATAAGTGCAAGAAACATTTGGTAACTGACATTGTAACCAGCCAAAGTTGCAGTATACAGTACATAAATATAAATATAGACAGTAAGATAAATACAGACATGATAACCCAAAAAGTAATCGGCTCTGGCGAAGACGACACATACTGATCGAAAGGTGTTCATATCCTTCAGTGTAAATCTGACTGCATGCATTGTTTTGTTTTTTTTTCAATGGCTCTAAGATGGGAAGGAAGACGGTTTGCTGATCCAAGATCTTTCTTTTCATTCCAGCTATTTTTGAAGGTAGTTTATCGAAGTCCAGTTTAATCAGTAAGAGAGAGAGAGTGAGAGAGAGAGAAAGACGGACAGAAACAGAAACTGTTGCCTAAGTAAGGTTAACATTGCCAAGACTCATACAGGACTATCAATATTTGTACAAGTGCAGTGCGGCTTACGTTGACTGTTCAACAGTTACATTCTTTTCCACTTGGAGCAGCCTTGTTGCATAGGAAATGTAAGTAAAATAATAAGTGGCATATTTGTAAAAAGAAACGGTAAAACGTATATGAACCCTGCAACATAATGGTGACATAAGCGCTTCACTGCAGATGTCACATTGTCGCTGTCCAAAGAAAAACATACAGGGTCATTCTCCATTTGGAGGGGAAACCATGTCATAAAGGTTGCAGGGCTTAAAAAGATGCCTAAAATATGAGGCACGGCTCAAAAAGTCAGTATGTACATTTTACACAATTGACCTTAGATTAAATAACACTTTTCTCTTATGATTGCTCTGATTTTTCTTTTTTTATCCTGTTTCATAGTCGCTCTACATCTGTAAAACAGCAATTTTCAATATTTGAGAAACCATTTTTAATATAAAACTATATTTTTTGAGGTTTAATTTAGGAATTTGTATAAAAGAGATTCATTTTAACTTTATACGTTATACTACATTTAAAAAATAGGTATTTTATTTAAAAAATTCTATTAACTGGTGTTATCAGGACTCTTATATTACATTTTAACACAGTATTTTCCGCTCTACTAAATTGCTTCTTTGGGTCGAGGCTCATCAGAGAAGAAGCATCTAAAGGCCTGAGAAGGCGAGTCACACTTACTATATTTCATTAATTTATTAATAATTTAGTTTCTCAGGCAGCTCATAACTTCTACGTGTCACCGGTGTTATGTGCTTATATTGCTGGGTAATTAAAAATTTGTCAAAATAATGCCAAATATAATTTTTATTACTAATTTTAAATACATAAGGTCACCTGATCACCAATGAGTCCACCAGTTTACAAAATCCTCAGTTTTAACCAGAATGTCACTGGAGTCACAGTCGCTGGTGTTACACGATATTCATACAACACCAGCGACTGTAAAATGTTTGGAATTAAGCTCCTCTTTGCATACATGATAACAGGAGATGTTAATGGACATATTAAGATTATTTAGTTCTGGGATGAAAGAAAGTGATTTTTTTTAATGTATCCACCTGAATTCCCACTCCAAACGGAGAATGACCCATATCTCAATTTTTCTCGATTTTTACTTTTTTTCATCATCTCAGCACAGCAGCTTTACAATATGTACAAACTTCATGATGAATGGACCAACAGAAGTGCTTGGAATAAAATCTCTTTATATAAACTTACACTGAAAGTAAAGAACGTTTTTACCTCTCCTAAAAAGTTAATATTTGGAGATACTTGTTTTTCTTTGGACAGCGACCATATGCTGTCATGATAGATCGTGCCTAACAACATCACAGTCCTGTTACCATTAGCAGTAATTGTCATGGCATTTGTCATTATATCTCTTAGTAGAGGGGAGTTAGCAAAAACTAACACGATATGAAGAGGGAATTTCTGTGACCTTTCCCACTTTGCAAAAGTCCAAATGCACAAGTACAATCCGACCTAAGATGACCCAGCCTGTTGTGCCAAAGAGCAGCAAGTTCAGCAATGGGATCGTCCAGATCTTTCTATCAACGCCCCAGCCATAACGGGGAAGTGGCAGATGAAGAAAACCTTCAGCAAAGCTCTCGCATTCAAATGATTACATGTGCGGGATTGGCCCTATCATGCAAAACATCGGTGATGTGCAGTCACCCAGGAGCCCGTCCTGCACCATCAAGCATAAATGCCACGACAAAAGTGGAAAAAGGACTGCTACCCAAGATAAGTTAGATAGGAAGAGGAGAAGAGACGTGAGGAGAGGTGAGGTTGGACATGGCTTTGATTTTTGACTTTGATTTCCCTTCTTTCATTCCTCCAGAATGTTCCTGAGAAGAAAGGCGATGGCTTTGCTTGTTTAAGCAAATCAGGGGGCCTTCACGTGCTTTTTCAGGAGGTGTTATTTCCCTTTCGTGAAATTGTAATTATGAAGTGCACAGTTCTGCTAGTTAGCTAATCTGTTTTGGTATCTTCCGAACATTTACACCTCATGTCAACATCTCTCAGTTCTTCAAATCCAGATCTTGAATCCAGCTTCTGGTCCTGGATTTTGCAGTCAGTGACGCTATGTGGCCAATCAGTTACATCAACAGTTCAATTAACCCTCTATTGCACAATGTTGCCTCAGGGCAACAAACTCATTTTCCTCACTTTACAATAATGTTATACATATTTAAAGACAGCAATAGCATTAACAATAAAGGGAAGAGTTTGAGCAAGTCAATACAGAGCATGTGCTTGGTCATACTATCTCTTATCGGGCACATTCTAACCTCTTTTTTAATGTTCAGTATCAATTCTTTTTGTTATGAGAATTTGCAGAAATATGTTTGTAGCCTAGAAGCAACACTGAATGACAGTGGAATGGATTTAGCCAGTCACAAGTTCTCACCACTTCAGGGAACATAGCTCTATATAATTTCTTCTCACTGTTGCACAATGTTGCCTCAAGGCAACATACTACAAAAGGACCCCTGCACACATTTATTTTTTGTTTAAAAGTTTCTGAATGTAATAAACGGGACCGAAAAATCAAGGATCATTTTATGCAAGAAAAGTGAATGGAATATATTTTTTAATTGCTCTCATAATGCATGCAGTAGAGGGTTAAGGCTATGTAGAATTTAGGGATTTGGAGACCTCTCTGGTGGAACTTTGTGTAACGTGGGTTGTGCTTCGGCCCCCTTTACTGAGTAGATGAATCTGATGATTGGGCGTGTTGAAAGAAAATCTAAAGAGAACTCAGTCAAAGCTTGGCGAACGACTTACAAGGATGTGAATGAATCATCTAGTATCATCATATCTTCATCACTATAATGTTGATTTTGCATTTGAGACCTAAACATCGAGCCGGACCTTCTTTTTGAGCCTGTGCATGTGGCGTTAATATGTAAAGATGAATGTAAAACTTTTGCAAAATCAATGCTTCTGACTTTTAAATGATTATTTCAGGCTTTTCACAGCACAATTCTTTTCTCCTGACTCATAAAATCTTACATCGTGCAGCTTTAAGTAGTGACTACAAAATACAGGACCAGAAACTGGATTCAAGGTCTGGATTCAAAGATCTCTGTGGAACCTTTGAGGTCAGTAACTCGTATTTACCATAATTACGAAAGCACATGAAGGCACCAAATAGCCCCGCCCACTTTCCCCATTGTTTTTTTTTTCAGTTCATCAGCGCTACTGTACTTTCAGGCTGCTCCCCGCACAATCCGGAGAAGAACTCCAAGGCCAGGCGCACGTGGATGGGCACGAAGACGTAGGAGGTGTAGACCACCATGGCCACCATGGTGAAAAGGACTGTGTTGAAGATGGACTTCTCCCAGGGCTCCAGCACGTAGATGCCCGTGATCAGGAGGTACTGGTAGTACAGCCAGCCCATGTACTCTCGCATGTTCTTTACATCCATGCCTCAGTCTTAGTTCACCCCACGGGTAAGAAGTGGTCAGCAGGAGGCTGGCAGGAGTGGACGTACATGCAGCACATGGAAGAGGAGAGAAAACAACATACATTATGTTAAGGAAGTGTTTATGGAGGTGTTTTGCCTAGAATGCTTCCCTGTTCTCCCACAGGAATATTTCATTCTATAGCCCTGGAACGAAACCTGTAGCAACATGCGTAATTTCCCAAGGGGTCATCAAGAAACTGCTGGAAAATATACAACCAAAAATGGAAAAAAGGCACTTGGGGCAATCCATATATACAAGATGCACAGTACTTTCTAATTTCCAGTTAAAATGGCTATAACGTAAGTTGAAATGAAAATTATTCACAAGCCTCAATGACTCGAAACATCTTTTTTTTCCGTATTTAGTGTGTCCACTCTTTACCTTTATTACAGCTTCAATTCTTTTTAACAGACTTGCTTTCAGTTTTTCACAGAAATCTGGAGCCACACCTCCAAAGTTCAGTCTTAGAAGTTTGTTGTACTTTCTGCATTTTATCATCAAGTCAATTTGTAATTGATTGCAATTCCAAATTTTGACTCATCAGCCCATAAAACTTTCCTCCACATCTCAAATGTTCTAAGAAATTACTGTTTGTCTAACGGAGACAATGCACTGGTTAGGAGCCCCATTTTCTCTCCATCCTTTACTCCAGTTTTGGAAACTCAGTATCTCCTGAGAAATTAATAACTTGCACTTAATGGCTGTTCTGACTGCAAAATAAGTGTAACTGTCTGACTGTAAAAAGTGCTGAACCTCTCAGGATTAGGCCATACCTGCAGCGTCGGCTACAGTAAGTACTCCTCGTGTCTCGGGGACCATATGTGATCTTTGCAATGGAAACAGTGCATTGAGTGCAAAGACTGCAGCATATTTAAATGTGCATCTTAATTCTAGGAACCCCCTGGGCAATTAGAGGTGTAACTCAATAGCTCCCACCTTCTGGTAATGCCCTGTGGGGGCAATCACCATACAGAGTCTACTGACACCCCCCCCCATCATCCCATGCAAACCACATATAAATAAATCCTATATATTCATTAATCTGCTGTATTATTCTGACCACAGCTTGTATAAATCAGTTATTGCTCCACTGTACGCCTGCAATCCTCACGACCGCCTTTCATCACGTCTTATCAGATTACTCTTGGCTTGTTGACTGGCAATAAAGGGCAGGTGCCGAAGGCGTTGCAGCACATGGGAAACTTTATTAACAAGTGCGCAAAGGCTGTTAGTACAAGCATACGACTGTGCCTTACTTTGATTTGTACAGTTGGTTAACGAGAAAGTAATGCATTCCAATGGCGTCTTGGTGCAATAAGGCCATTACTGGTGGATTTCTTGGAAAAATCGTGGGCTATTTTGGACGATGTCAGGCGACTTGTTAGAACAAGTGGTTGTAGTTAATGGTTCATAGTGCTAATGCATGAGTCAAGGGCAGATGTCATGGTTCACCTATGTCAGTCGAAACAGGTACCTGGCTGGGGTGGCAAAAACTAACCTCGGCAGCTAGAACATTCTTCAAAACTGTGTGGCAGAGACGAGCAGGGACAAGACATGATATTTCTAATAGAAATTGATGTTTTTTCTTATCAATACTGTATCTGGTACTGCTGTTCTATTACCACTGTGGGTTCTTTGCTGCCGTTGCACTTCTACACAGCTGAAAACACTAAACAGCTACAAATGAAAAAATAATTAGACTAAATAAGGATAATTAATGGATTGCGTACAGTGTTGGGGGTAATGTGGTACAAAGTAAGGCACTGCAGTACTTCTTTTTTGTAACAAATAATGCACTACAGCATTAATTCCTGTCATCAAATTACAGTTACTGACTTCATAAGAATAATCTTACTTGTGCTACTCATATGAGAGCGGTATTAATCATGCGAGATGCACTTAAAACATAAATATCCTCTATATAGATAATCCTTGTCTGTCCTTGTATGTAATTTGTGTGCGCATGTACTCTACAGTGTGTCTAATCATGCTGATATGAAACTGATGGAAAAATATTTCATTATTAAAGCAATAAGCCACTCCAGGCTGTGGGTTACTGGGATTTTATCATGGGGAAGGGTGTTCTTCTAAAACTCCCTTCCCTGTGATAAAATCGCAGTAACTCACTGCCTCGAGTGGCTTATTGCATTAATAAAATGACAGCCAACATAAAATGTACTAAAATGCACATTGTAGATAATTATTTAAGTTATTATTAATAATAATCGACATAAGTATTCCGCCAAGAAATGTAGTTCCTTTAGAGTACGGTATTGTTGCTAAGCAACCATTGACCGTTGAATGAGAAGAACGTTCGGTCAACCATCGCTATAAACTGCAGACATTTCATGACATTTAATGATTTTTTACATTTTTTTTTGTATAACAGTGAACATATGATAACACAGCACTGTTTAATGCAAATACTTTGTTTATCAGTACTTTTTGGTCTCAAATATCCACCACGAGTCTTCTGCCAGTCTGATGACACCTCTTTTCTCACGCTGGGGTTGAACCTCAAACGGCTCCCTGCTCCCTACATAGTGCACTACATAGGATTTTAAATACTGGATCCTGCAGCCCAACAGTGCAAAATGTTGCTAAAAAATGTTCATTTGGGATTCATCCACATTCATACTCAACAAGCAGTGCAGTATTTGACAGCAGACGCCAGAATTTCTAAACTTTATTACACAGCTCACTATTTAGCTAGAGAGTACGGAGCTGTTTGGGATTCAGCCTGGGTTTGATGCGACTTCTGACTGAAACATGGACTTTTGAAGCGTGTAAGACATTCTTTAGACTTTTATTCTGCCATTTTTCAGGTAACCATATTGTGAATACTTTAATTCAAGCCTGTGATATTAATGATGGAGTTGTTTAGCATGTTTGCTATCTTTTAGCCTGTTAGCTAGCTGACCAGCCTAGTTCTAGTTAAGAAAATAAGTCACCAGCCCCTCCGTTCTTACTTAATCAGTACACTCGGTGGTCCAAGCGATCAGCATTAGAGTCAAAGATTAATCCATTAACAACAGAAGGGTTTTTGTGCCGTGCAGCAGCAATACAGAGTTGTGAGGCGGTCATAGCCGTGGTGTATCGTGATGGCGGTATATCCATTTTATAATATCCATTTTAATGCTAATATACATTTTAACACTACTTTCTTGGCTTTTGAACAGCATCAGCTGTTCGTGCTTCTTGCTCTCTTGTTCTCTTGACAGACCTTTTAAATGACGTTTACTTTGGGCTTTTTCTAAATAAAGTACTGAAAATAACTATTGGGTTTTCTCTTGTTCAGTTAGTGCAGATCTCGAGTCATGAATTTGATGACTTTAGACTCAACTCGAGAAAATCGAGAAAGTCTTGACTTGAACACCAGTGACTGGGACTCTGACTCGGACTTGAGTGTAATGACTCAGAAAGACTCAAGACTCAAAGTGGAAGAAATGTCTTCAAATATAATTTTCTTTAAAAAATTAAGTTCAGTAGTACTTTTAAAATTCTTTTCATGTGTAGGAGCACTGCTCTTTGTGTATATCAGTACTTCTGTCATGGTTATCTGTGTACAATGGATTTTGTATTTTAATTAGAAAGGTAAAAAGATAATAATAATAATAATAATAATAATAATAATAATATACAGCCACACACTGCTAATGTGCTGTTACCATTATTCAGTGTTATGGCCTTACATTAGCTGAAGAATGCAGACTGACTTGTTTAGGACTCGAAGATTAGAACTACTGACTTGGGACTCGACTTGAGACTCAACTGTACTGACTCAGGACTTGAGTGTGAAGACTTGAGACTTACTTGTTACTTGCAACTTGTTCACATGTCTTTTAATAAGCAAACTAATCCCATTAAAGGTGACATATGGATTGCATACAGTCTCAGATGGACCTGTACCTTTCAGGGTTGCTTTCAAGGTGGTGGCATCTTCAGAACCTTAACCTAAGCAATGTAATTGTACCATGTTACATATTTTAAGTTGACTCCATGCACTCTGTCTTGATTAAAGGTACACTACAGGATCTGTATAATTAACTTATTGAGTCTTTGTTGATTGGTTTGTTGTGAAATGCTCCATGTGGTGATAGGAACCAGACATCCACAGTAAATGGTTATGAATATGCTGTCTGATGTCTGAGACATTGTTTATGATTGTCCAAAATCTATGCATGGCAGAGAGACACATGCAGGGCACTGTAGTCCCTCTTTTTAGATATACTACAATTTTACCATCATCATCATTCCATGTAAAATTCAGTAGGCACGTGTAGGTTCACTGGTGGTTTTGGATAGTAAATAAAATGGCTATATTTGTGTTGTAGACAGTGCATCTGGCTCCTATCACCACCACTGTAAAGAAATCCGAGTCGGCAAGTTTCTCTAGGATCTAGCATTTCACCTCAAACCACTCTGAACGACCTTGTTAACATATCGATTGAGTTGTGCTGGAATTTTGAACAAATTGGTGGATTCGCCCTTTAAGGGCTGTTTCGTGCCTTTTGCATAGTGTGCACCTGACTAAAACTCACCTGGACAGTAACACAGAGGCCAAACAACCAGAAGTGTCTCTCCTGACACATATCTGATCATTTCTGTTGTGTGTGTCAACAGAGTGGTTAGAAAAGAAAGTCTTGGTCCTTCCTGTCTAAACAACACTCACTTCAACCTGTGATTCATGGCCATTAGATCCGCTCAGGACTGACCACACTAAGGCAACGCCAAGCTGAATGACCACTCACCTCCTCGAGCTGGGGGTGTCCTTCAGAGAAACTTTGCAGCGGGATGCTGGGCACGTCCTGCAGCTCCTCCGCTCTGCTGAAACGCGAAGCTGCTCGACCAGTTCGAGAATGGGCAGGTCACGCAGCGCTCCTCGACTTTAGGCCGGACACCACACCCACCCACGTCTCCTTTCACACCTCACCTGTGTGCGCGCGCGTGTATGCTTGTGTCTGTTCTGGCAGGTGTAATGCAGGAGCCCATGTGCGCGCGCGTTTTGCTCTGTGCAGGTGAAACGCAGAGGCTGCAGCGCGCGAGCGTATGCACGTACATGTGTGCGCGCGTGCGCGCGTGTTTTCCTCTGTGCAGGTGAAACGCAGAGGCTGTCCTCGAGCAGTCCATGCGTAAACTGTCCACGAGACGAGCCTCTCCGCTCAGTCCCGCCTCTCCCTCCAACCCTCCGCCCCCCACCCGCACACACACACACACACACACACACACACACACACTCCTCTCGTCTCCTCTCTTCTCTTCTCACCCGGAGCACCGCTCGCGCAGCCCGGGAGTGAGCGCGCGCCCCACGCGCCAACTCTGCCTCCGTGCCGCAGAGTCTCTGTGCCCTTCCTCCCCGCGCGCCTCCTCGGTCATGATGCTGCAGTATGGCGCGTGACGTCAGCGCCCATCAACAATGCCTCCGTTTGTTTTTCCCACCCGTTTTCCGAAAAGCCCCGCCCCCCAAATTGCGATTGGCTAGTAGCTCGCGTTGTTATGACAGGCTGCTAGCGTTACTTGTGAGTACTTGGCCATTCCCAGTGCAGGGCAATAATAATAATAATAATAATAATAATAATGATGATGATGCTTAAAATGATAATGAACGAACTGCTTGTGTACGAAGTCAAGCGTGGCGCAGTAGGCCAGACGCTACCAACCAATCACAGTTTAGGGGGCGTGGTTCCCGAATACGGGTGGAAAGTAAAACGCCGCTGCAGTGATGGATGGGAGCGGAATTGAAAACGCTGAAGCTGCTTTCTCAGCTCTCCTGTGTGCTGTAAACACGACACGGGCAAAGGTTTTTCAGCCTGACCATCACAGGAGTTGATGACGTAACGTAGCCAGGTTACAGAGTAAAACCCCCGAGTTGAAAGAAACAGCTTCGGTGTTGAACGAACGTTTTAATTAATTATTTCAATATTGAATGCACGTCTGCAGTGTTAAATTAACCTATGCACACTTAAAATATATGGTTCTTCAATGGTTCTTTAGAACCATGAGTACCATATAGAACCATTTGCATGCTTAAGTGGTTCTTTGCATGGTGAATGGTTCTTCAGATTGATGGAGAATGTGTTGTAAATAGTTCTATACAGCACCAAAAAGTGTTCTGCTACTGTAAAAAACTGGACATCATAACAAAAGCAGAATTCTATTTTATTGCTATGTAGAACCATTTTCATCTGAAGCATCTAAAGAACCATTGCACCATGCAAAAAAACAAATAAGCATGCAAAAGGTTCTATATAGAAGTCATGGTTCTCAACAGAACCATTTCCTTTACTAAAGAACCCTGGAAGAACCACATAGTGTTAAATGAACGCATAAATGCAGTGTTGCATTAAAGGGCCCATATCTCACATTTTTGTCAGATTTTACTTTTTCCTCTTACGACATACACTGTTAAATTTTAATTTTTCATTCATCAAGGTAGAAACAATGTAAATGTTCCCTCAAAGGTACAACAGTGGTTTTAAGGTCCAATTGTGAACCTTAAATACGTTTTTCCAGGTGAAAATTTTTTCATAACCGAATGTTTTAAAACAGAACAGTAAAATAAAAGCCTGGAGACGAGATGGGGTGTGTGGAGTCAGTACAACTTAGAAAATATCATTTTAATGGATTATGTTACAGTTATATTCCCTGACTAAAGGTACTGAGATGTACTCTTGAGCGTCCCTCCCCAGTGACAAGAGGGGCACTGCCCCAGTGATAGTCTCATACCTTTATTTCTGAGAGTGTATGTGTGGTCAAACTGTTTTGTCAATAAAGCAAGAAAAATACATTTTTTTGCATTATATGGGCTCTTTAATACTTACGGCATTTAATTGAATGAACACATAGAGGGATAATATCTATAGTGCTGAATTGCTGTGCATTAACCAATAGTCCAAAAGATGTTGCACATGATCCTAAAGTCACCATGCCCAACGCCAAGTGTGGGCTAGAGGGGTATAAACCCCCCAGCATTGGGCTGTGGAGCTGTGGAACTGTGTTCTCTGGAGTGATTGAGCTCCATCCAATACCTCGTACATCTGTACATGACCTCACTAATGCTTCTGTGCCCGAATGCAATCAAATGCTCACAGCAATGTTCCAGCATCTAGTGTAAAAAGAGGTCTTTCATGCCATTTTTGGCTTTCAAATAGAGTATAATATAATAAAAGTGAGAGATTGGCTATTTAAAAATACAGGATCACTCCCAGCAAATACAAACGTAGAGCAAGGTGAATGAATAAATGAATTAATAAGTAAATGAATAAATGAATAAAATAAAAAGTCTCATTTTGGTGACGTGACTGGACAAGGCAGAGACTCTGAGAACAGTCTACCCTCGTCTGTATGTAGGGAAAGAAAAGCACAGCCATTCCCTTTAAGAGGAATCAATATTTCAGCAGGCCTGAAGCAGGCAGTGTTGCTGCGGTTGCCTGTCTTCTTAAAAATAGCCTCGGTGGGCAGGGCAGAGGTGCCAGGCAAGCAGTACCCGCTGAAAGCAGCTTCAAATGCAGAGAGTTGGCCTGCCAGCTTCTTCAGCCCTGAGACATGCTCTGTTAGCCTACGCTAGGAGTCAGAAACAAGGCCTCTAAGACACTGTTCAGAGTTACATGGGGTAGTGGTTGAAATCTTGCCCTACGAAATGGGACCCTCAAATAAAAAGGCATTACTTCATTAACAGGCTACTAGCGCTGCTCTGTAGGTGACACTGCCAGTCTGCAGTGACAGCAGAGGAGGGTAAAGTTCAGCTCCTCACTGCTGGGCTTTAGTTACATTTAGGGCATCATATGCCTTCAAAGAGGGGGGCAATTATTTATTATCACCCACCCCTAATTCTTCAGTGATATGAAGCTGAAGTCAGATATTCACCAGCTTCTTGTTCAAACCTTTCCGTTCCACCTTAAATGGTGCAGCAGTTACATTCTGGAGCTTCAGGTGTCAGAACTGCTGGACTATTTAAGGTGGAACAGGAAAGTTAGCTCAACTAAAATTGGGACACCCCAACCCTAGACGTGAACATGCAAAACAGAGGGTTTATGGCTAAGTGGTAGAAATGGGAAATGGGATTGGGCGTTCCTCAATCCCACTGCAATACAAATGATTCTGTTAATTAATTAATCCTCCAGCCCTTTAGTTGATTGTAAGAAAGGTGCTACGTGTTTCTCCCAGAAACACTAGTCCAATATTTCTTACTGTGTGACAATTATGGTTTATACTAGAGGTTAATCTGATAACAGGCATGAGTATCAAGACAAAATCAGCAGAAAATGCTGGATCAGAAATAGCTCATGCAAGAAACAACAGTAGTCTAATGCTAACATTAGTAAGTAGCTCTAGCTAAGTTATAATAAAATGACAACTTCTTTATTTGAAATAGCCTAAATTTACACAGTTTTTTTTTTTTTTTAAATAAAAGTATTTGATGTAGTAAAATTGTATGTAAGCTCTGTCAAAGTTCCAAAAGGTATCGTACACTACCAAGTTCCTATTTGGCAAGTAAGCTTCCCATTTGCAATTCATTGTTTTTGTGATGTTACAAAATCCCACGTGTTTACATATATCCACCTATTCGGCTTAACCCCCGCCCATCCACTCTGAAGTTATAAGAAGTGTTTCCTCCTCATCCCGGACTGCTTTTTGAAAGAGACGCAATACAAGGCAGCCAATCAGAACAGGGCTCATTAAAATGTACCAGTCTTAAAGGAGCAGTGACAAAAACAGGCTGGGATAAGGAGAGGTTGGAAAATGGTCATGTAAAAATGAATTAGGACTATTTTTGATTCTTGTTGTAGGGTAACAGTGTTACAGCATGGTACTTTAAGAAGGCCATAATAATAAGTGAAATTACTCACTTTGTAGGTTTTAAAGTCGGATTGGTACTGGTATCAGCTGATACTTAAAGTCTTAAACTCCACGGATTTTTCAAAATTGCTGCATAATTCAGTTGTTGACATGTAAACAAAGTCATTCAGAGTGGTTTGGTATGAAATGAGAAACCTACCAAATCAGATGTCTTTACAGCTGTCTTCACGTCTACAACACAAATATAGCCATTTATTTACTATCCAAAACCACCAGTGAACCTACATGTGTCTTCTGAGTTTATATATTCAATGTAAATGATAGTGGTCAATCTGAAAAAATATTTTTTTGTGGGACTACTTTGCCTCACAGCACTCTGCATGTACCCCTCCACCATGACTAGATTTAAAAAACACGTTTCAGTCCAGAACTTGGCTGTCAATGGTCAGCAGCAGTATGACGCATGTCAATAGAGTAATATCTCCAATTATCAATTATTATTGTCATTATTATTATTTCACCTAGCTACATCTAGTTTGTAATGCCCTCTTAACCTTTTACCATTTTTTTAGAATAATTCAGTTCTTGAGATGTAAACAGAGTGGTTTGATGTGAAATGGTTTAAAACTCTGATCCATTTCCAGTGGTTGTGATAGGAACCTGGGGTTGCCATGACTACAACACAAATATAGCCATTTATTTACTATAAAAACCACCAGAGAACCTACACGTGTCTTCTGAGTTTTATATGGAATGTTGGTGATGGTAAAATAGGCATAAATCTGAATAAAAATTTGCTTTGGGGACTGTTTTGCCTTATAATGCCCTGCATGTACCTCTCCACCATGAATGAATTAAAATAAATAGATTCAAATACATTTTAAGCAAAACGTTTTCACAAAACTATTATAAAACAATGTCTCAGACATCAGTGTATTTATAACCATTTAATGTAATAATATACTGAGAGGGAGGTTTAGAGGTGGACATCTGGTTCCTATCACCACCACTGTGAACAATTCTGACTCTGTTTCTCTCAAACTAAACATTTCACACCAAAACAATCTGAATGGCTTTGTTTACAACTTATCGACTGAACTATGCAGAAATTTTTAAAAATCACTGGAGTTCCCCTTTAACCTCTTATTAGTTATACTGGAAAAGAAAAAGTGGTATTGTGACATCTTTAGATTATCCTCCCCAAAAACATACAAAAATACTGATAATATTTTTAGATATCTTTCTTAGCTTTGTGTTTATTTAATGAGACAAGCTTTAATTAGACGTTTGAACTGATAAGCACAACAATCTTTTGATAATAAAAGTTTTTATCAGAAATATAAAGGCCAATGAAATCAGCACTCTTTATAACAGTATCAGTCTTTGTGAGTCAGGGATCTGTGCTGGTCAGAGACAGCTGTTCATTGTCATGTATGTTGCGCACGTGTTTAAATGGCAGCAGGGAGTGACCGCGGCTTTAACCAGGTGAGCAAACATACTGACCTGGTCAATTGCGACCAAGCAGCCTGATCTAACTCTGAACATACAGTCAGGTCTTATAAAGGTGAAGGTGAAGGTGAGCCCTGAAGATGCACTGTGCCATTGTTTTGGAATGTGCTTGCTTCGAGCTTGCGTTGCAGGTGGCCATGGTGACGGTCGCTTTCATGGGAGGCTGCAATTGTCTCTCCTTCAACACTGTTTGTTTTAAGTGGTTAGCTAAGACGTTCTTTTGTTAGCAGGATAAGAACATGACAATTAAAGCTCAGTAAGTACACAAAGGCAACAGATATGAATTGTGTTTAACTGATTCATGCTGTGTGTGTGTTTTAGAATTGTTTGCACTGCTTTTCATGGACCATTTACTGAACGCCAACACAGTGATGAAAATTATAAAGGAATTAACCATCAGTTAGTAATTTTGCTAGGAAAAATGCTAACGAACTCAGTGAAACAATAAAAAACTACAAAGAGGGGAAATAGAACCTTGAAACAGAGATAACAATTAAATAACAATTAAATAGGTGCAATTAAATAAACATAACATACACACATAAATACATAAAGGTATACACACACACACACACACACACACACATTTATATATATATATATATATTATATATATATATTATATATATATACACACATTCACAAATTATCAGAGTGGTTAATTTATTTAAGCAACTGAGCACTGCTGAATAAAAAACGAATGCATTTTGTAACTTTAACTTATCGATTATATTTTGTGTGTCTCTCTATATTTGATATATATATATTCTATATTTTCATTTACTTGATTTTGTGAAAATAATACTGCATTTGAGTGGTGCTTTAAAACTGGGAAACACCAAAGTTCCTACTTGTAAATTGTGCTCGAACAGCCAATAAAGTTGTATTTACAACTCAGGATTCTAAAGGATCAACAAGTTTATTAGATATGACATATGAGGCAACCTTTAACCTTTACACAAGAGAAAAATGCTCAAATTGCAGTGAAAGTGAAAAAATATATACCTGATGCACTTTAGATCTATGTCACTCCAGTTCTTGCGGGCCAAAACACTGCAGACTTCAGCCCGCTGCCTCATTAAACACCCCTGATTCAGCTCATCTGCTGATTAGCAAGGCCTTCATGAACTGAACTCAGAGCATTAGATAAGGGTAAACGCTGATCACTTTGATCAGCACTTTGGCCTGGAAGGTCCCCAGTTTGACATCCCTGATCTATGTGCTCAGCTAAGAAAAAGCAGGATGCTATTCTCCAGACCTCCGTGGTTTCTTTCTCCGTGTTGTTGGCGAGTCTATGAACAAGTACAAGTTTAGGAGTTTACTAGTTACAGTCAAAATAAAAAAAAAAATTCTGAGCAGTTAATTTTACAGATCTGTACTGCTGTAACACAGGTTATTTCTGCTGTGTGGGTTTAATGCCAAGCTAATGTGCAATTTTGCCCCTTAATCCACATGTAGCTGATCGGCCAAGGCATGTATGGTGTCTTAAGTTTGCTACTTCATTTTTGTACTGGAACTTCAAGGTTAATGTGGCTAACAAGCAATGAAAGCTTACACCCTATCAGTTAGCGCGGCGCGACTGCAGGTCTAAAACATCACACAATCACCTAAAAGCGTGTGGAGTTGTTCAGTAATCTCTAATAGACTTGTGGTTTCTGACACTGTATGATACACTGTTATCTAAAAAGGGTCATGAGCACTTTAGCATGGCTAAAGTAGCAGCAATCTTGCATTTTGTATTTTATAGATAACAATAAGTCACTCAAGATGACAGTTTAGGTTTTCTTCAGACAAGAAGAACAAGAGCCTAAGAGCCTAACTGTATCAAACAGCACCCTCTAGTGGTATTGTGGTGGCATAGGTGGGAACTGAAGACTGCGGAAGGCGGCATTATACACACTGCATTGACAACTCTGAGTGTCCGCTTGTATATAAATGCAGCGAGCACGTGGATCTCAGACTACATTACTAGCAATGCTGCAAAAATGCTAAGTGAAGGGAAAGAGAGTTAGACAGATAAAGAGAGAGAGAGGGAGAGAGAGGGAGAAAGAAAGAGCAACAGAGGGGGAGAATGAGAGAGAAAAAAGACAAAGGGAGAGAAAGAGCAAGAAAGAGAGAGAAAGTAAATGACAGAGAAAGGGAGGAGAAAGGGAGAGAAAGAGAGAAAGGGCGAGACAGAGAGAGAGAAAAGAAGAGAGAAAGAGCAACAGGCAGAGTCTGTGAAAGAAAAAAGCGAAAGAAAGAAAGAAAGCACGAGAAGAGAGAAAGAAAGAAAGAAAGAAAGAAAGAAAGAAAGAAAGAAAGCATCAGAAAAAGAGTGAGAGAGAGAAGAAGAGAGAGAAGGAAAGAAAAAGCGAGACAGAGAGAAAGAAAGAAATAAAGAGCAACAGAGAGATAGGGAATGAGAAAAAAGAGAGAAAGAGCAGGGAGAGAAAGAGAGAAAGAAAGCAAGAAAGAGACAGAGAAAGAGATAGTGGGAGTAAGAGAGAAAGAGCAACAGTAAAAGACTGAGAAAGAGAAAAAAGAAAGAGTGAGAGAGAGAAAGAGAGAGAGTGAGAGTGAGAGAGAGAGAGAGAGAGAAAGACAGAGAGAGAGGGAGAGAGAGAGAGAGAGAGAGAGACAGAGAGAGAGAGAGAGAGAGAGGGCCATCAGGGGGACAAACGGGTGAATGAAGAGCACAGTGCACCGTGGGTTTGGGTCAGGTTTCTGGGTCACTCTCAGTAACAGTGGCGCTCAGCACTTTGTTCAGGTTCAGTGTGGGTGACTGTAGAGCACTGGGCCAGAACCAATGTAGTCCTCCTTCCTAGGGAGTAGGGGGGCTTGGAGAGGAGGCAGGGGTGTGACCAAAAAACAAGGAGAGAGCAAAAACGTGGGTGCCACTCCCCCCCACCCCCCCACCCACACGCACCTCTTTAAATATCTCAAGGCTGATGAGAACTTTTGCGCTCTTTCTCTCAGTTCTGGTGGTAATGAGGTGGAAACATCTGGAAAGCGAACAAGACAACAACATCTGGTAAATAATTTCCATTGATTTTTTTTAAATAACGGGTAATATCTGGAGGCTCACATTTTAAGTTGCCTAGTCTACATCATGTCAAACTAAGCAGTTATGCTTAAAAACAGATTATTGCATGAAGAGCGGGAAAGATTATTGCATCATTTTGGCACATATTTGCATTAGCTTGCCATTACTATAGTATATCTTTGCAATTTGGTTACATGTACTCATACTCATATCTATTACTGTGTTATTAACTATGCTCAGATATTGATATACTCCACATCTCTTGCACATTGCCTGTTGGGGGCCAATCAATATATATGCGTCATTCTCCAATTGGAGGGGAAACCATGTCACAAAGGTTGCAGGGCTTAAAAAGATGCTTAAAATATTAGGCAGAGCTCCAAAAGTTGGTTTGTACATTTACACAGTTGACCTAGGATTAAATAACACTTTTCTCTTATGATTTCTCAGATTTTTCTTTTTTTTATCCTGTTTCATAGTCGCTCTGCATCTGTAAAACAGCTCGTCACTAAACAAATTTTCAACATTTGAGAAACCATTTTTAATATTAAACAATATTTTTAAGAGGTTAGCTGAGGCACTTTGTATAAAACAGATTCATGTTAGCAGATTATGTTTAAAAAATATGTATTTTATATTAAAAAATTAATTGTCACAGAAATTTTGGTCACTGGTGTTATCAGGACTCATGTTACATTTTAACAGTATTTTCAGCTCTATTAAACTGCTTCTTTGGGTCGAGCCTCATCAGAGAAGAAGCGTCTCAACGCATAGCACATAACGTCTATGTGTCACAGGTGTTATATGCTTTAATGGCTGGGTAATTAAAATTTTGTCAAAATAATGCCATAAATAATTTTTATTACTGATTTTAAACAGTTGCACAAGGCCACCTGACCACCAATGAGTCAGCCAATTTACAAAATCCTCAGTTTTACCCAGCATGTCACTGGAGTCACCGTAAACTGGTGTTACAACACATTCATACAACACCAGTGATGGTAAAATATGTTTGGAATTAAGCTCCTTTTGCATACATGATAATAGGAGATGTAAATAGACATATTAAGATGATTTTGTTTTGAGATGAAAGAAATTGATTTTTTAAAAATGTATCCACCTGAATTCCCACTCCCAATGGAGAATGATCCATTTAGTCATTGACCCAGCTTATGGGAAAGACCAGCTTTGCTTATCAAGCACTTTTAAGCACGAAAAGCTGACCAGTCTGATCTGACTCATGTACTCATGTAAGAGCTATAGAATCTGAAAAACACTTTGTCGTAGGAATGGAAGGCGAGAATATGAATTTGTAGGGTGTTAGATTGGAAGAAGGAGGGGTTTCAGGCATGTTCCTCCCCCCAAACTTCAGTTATAACCTTGTTTAAATGGAGTTTGTGCCTCCCATGAGCCCCTTTGTGCAGCTCTCTGCGATGCCAGCTCCTGGTTGGCAGTGCACCCCATCGCCACAGCATATTTAACAGAAATGAATAAAGAAGCCTCAGCAACTAAATATACAGGGTGATTCAAAATAATTTTAAAATGACTAATTTTACTTGTAAATCATTACAAGTAAAATGAAGTTTATTTTGTAATTTTACAAAGTGCTCAATATGAACCTCCTCCAGCTGTTCAGACAATATCAACGCCATAGTCAAATTCATCCCATACTCGATTGAGCATGTCGGGTGTTTCTGCACTCACAGCTCTTTCAGTGTGATTTTGGAGATCATCCAGTGTTGTGGAACCAACGATGAACGCTCTGAGCTGTTGGAAGTTCACTGCAGATGAAAATCATGTTGCACAGTTATGACGGATTCACTCTTATTGAAGTGGAGAACGCAGAACGCTTTCTGCTCAGGGATCTCATCTCCTCACAGACTGAAGGGAGCCATCTTCCACTGACAGTCAGAAACTCCATGACCCCCTCTTTCAATTGGTATGTGATTGGTTCCTAGACACTCACTAGACTCACTTTCAGTTTCTCAAAGAAATCTGCAGACACACCTCCAAAGTTCAGTCTTAGAAGTTGGTTTAGCATTGCATGCTCATGATCCATGTAAGCCCAATTATAAATTTAGACTCATCAGTCCATAAAACCTAAAATATTCCACAATTGACTCCACAAAGTTATGATGGTCAGTTATTATAATCTCTATTGCATGAATTATTATTATGATTATGATTATTACTGTTGTTGTTGTTTTTGTTCTTGTTGTGTTAATGCAATGCAGAAACTGTTGTATATACACTCAAAAGAAAAAAGTGCCACCTTTGGTTCTTTAAAGAACCTTGCAGTGGACGGTTCTTTAGAGAACCATTTTGCTAATGAGATAAATGAGTATGAAGAACCTTTTTAAAGTTTAAAGAACCACCACATAATGTAACCCTTGAATAAGTACAGAACCTTTCCATTACATTCCCAAAAAAGGTTATTTTGCTCTTAACAGTAGTGGAACCCTTTTTGGTGCTATATCAAGCCATTTTTGAAGAACCATATGCAACAGTTTCCATTTAAACATTCAGGTGGTTCAGTGACTGGTGCCTGAATAAGTGCTTTTTGAGGATGTGTATGTGTGAAAGTTCTTTGAAGCTTTAAAACATTTGTCACACTCACAGATTGCTTTTTCATGCATGGTTATTTTAGAACCACCAAAAGTGGTTCTTCTATGGTATCCCAAAGAACCCTTTGTGGAACCTTTTCTAACAATGTATGTCGTTAAAAGAACATTTGAAAATGGTTCTATATAGCATTTAAAGGGTTCTGCTATTGTTATAAATCATAGAATCCCTTTTGATAGTATCTAGAACACTTTTCCTGAGTGCAGAGTGTAATTTTACGACTTACTGAACAAATTACAGCAGTTATGTGAATAATAAGTCTGCAGTTCGAGTGGGTTGATCGGTTATTGACAGTTTGCAGGCTGATTTTTGTGCTGTTTTTCATACATCTGTCTCAAACTGTGACTAATGGGACAGTTTAGAGAACCTGAGGGAAAGAATGTGGACCCAGAAAAGCAGAAAGAGGCTTTTTTACGCCAATGGTCCAACAGCCACTCCTTTCTTCACAGGGTCACAGTGAGCTCCATTAAAAGCTTACCACTCGAGCACAGCCTGAGCTGCTACTCTACCAGAGGCTAAAGACACCTCAGGCTCAGATGGCAGACGAGCCCCAACCCCTCTTGCCAAGGAATGGAATTGGAATCACTTCATATTCATTACTTAACACAACACAAAATGTATTTTTAAATGTTTTATCAATGAGAGTGTATTAAATGCTAAATGATATACTATAATCATTTACAGTACTGAGCAAAAGTCAGAGACCCCCCTTTGATTATTTAATCTGGTCAAAACAGCCAGAAAGCCCACGCTATTTATTTTTCAGGAGATATTTCTGGGGAGATTAGATATAATATAATCCACTATAATCCAGAAAAAACAGGAATTTTCCAAAACTAGAGTTAGACTAAAAGATTAAAAGCTCCAGAAAAAACTGGGCTCCGAACAACCACCTGGAAGACCTGGTAGACACCAAAACTGCCCCTATCAGATAAACAGAACTTAAAGCTTTCATCTTCGAGAGAGAGGAGAAAATCAACCTGCTTCAGATCTGAAAACATCCACTTCTTTAAAGAACTACACTCTTAAAAAAGTACAACAAAGTAATCATAGAAGAACAACTTTTGGTTCCTTAAGGAACCATGCTTGAAAAAAAGATCTGTGAGTGTAAAACACTTTAAAGCTTTAAAGAACCTTAAAAAACAGTCACAAAAAGGATCATACAAAGGCAACAGTCACAGAACCATCTGGATGATTCAATGGAACCTGTTGTATTTGGTTCTTCAAAAATGGTTAGATATAGCACAATAAAGAGTTCTGCTATGTTAAGAGCAAAAGAACCTTTTTTGGAACCCTTTTTGCTTAGAGTATAATGTAGGGTTCTGTGCCAATTTAACGATTTATATTATGTGAAAGTTCTTTAAAAATGGTTCTCTAAAGAACCATCCACTAAAAGGTTCTTCAGGAAACCAAAGCGTGCTCTTCTATGGCATTACAAAAAGAACCTTTCTTGGCACTTCTTTTTAAAGTACATACAACAGATTCTTCATCACAGTAACACACAACAACAACAACAACAACAACAATAATAATAAAAATAATAATAATAATTTTGGCATCCTTCCACTGTGACTCTGTGGGCCTGAAAGGATGATCAGCTGTCAAGAAGCCCTCATTGAGAAAAGGAAATAGACAAAAAAAGAGAACTTTTGCACTAGAAGACCAAAACCAGACACCTGAGATGTGGAGTGAGGTTTATAGACTGATGAATCTTAATTTGTTATAGAAATTACTTGCTGTTAACTTCTAAGACTGGACTGGCCACCCCAGAGTCCAGACCTCAACATCACAGAATGCGTTTGGATGGCGAGAAGCAGAAAATGCTAAATCAACTTCTAAGACTGAACTTTGGAGGTGTGTCTACAGATTTCTTTGAGAAGCTGAAAGTGAGTCTCCTGAAAAGAATGGAAATTGTATTCAAGGTAGACAAAGCAAATACTGAAAAAAAAAAACAGATATTATATTTAGTTCCATTTCTACAATTTAAATAAATGGAGGGTGGTCACAGTACAGTACAGCACAGTACTGTATTTGCAAACAGAAATTCAATAATAAATCGTTTTGGCAAGTTATCAGCCTTGAGTTCGCCACTTCTGAAATCCAAAACATTCTAGACATTAATTTTATTATAACTTCATTATGTTATACAGCTTCCTCTGTTATTTAAGAGTCATCTACAGCTCCATTAAACATTCAGTTCATCTAATATTCCTGACCTTTTTACTTTATACGAAATGAGATTGCACAGGACTTTTATTATACATTTGTCAAAAATTGGTTAAATATTATTGAACATATTGATTCTGAAGTTTTAAACAATGACTCTAAGCTTGTGAAAACAGTGTATAATGAGTTCACATAAACCTGGTATGAACTATTTTAGTGCAACTCAGACAAAGGCTCTTTATAACTCAAAACACCGCTCGGCTGCGTCTGGGTGTTGTCAGGGTTGTAACATAGGCTCCTGCCATGCACCCTGACTCTATCCCAAAGTTTTTGGGGGTGTTCAGGGGTCTTGGTTGGCCAGACGGCAAAAGCTGAGCGCCTGTGCTAAACGGAGGGGCAGCCCGGAGGCGCCTCAGCTGTCCATGGAGAGAGGTAAAGTGAGTACCGTGGTTATGGCCACTGAATGGCAGCGTGACACCGGCAGGTCAAGGTGGAGCATTACCGCCCTGAAGGACCTCTACCGCTTATGCTTCTGATGCATATCGGCTCTTTCATGCTGTGGACTGAGAAGACCTAGTCTGCAGTCCGCAGACTGATCATATGTCCCTTTTTTCAGAGATCCTTCATGTCTGAGGGGACGGGTTGCCTTTTTGGATGGTTTTAGAGTTAAAGGGTCCAGCCATGAGTGTGTTCATTGACATTGGCTGTTAGTAACCTTTATTTTACCTGAACAGACGGTTCATGAGATAAGCTCTTTCCGTCTAAAAACAGCTCAGGTTTAGGCTACGGTGAGTGATTGAGATTATCAGTGCTCTTTTGAGCAAAAGCTTTCTTGGAGTGACACCAAACAGGTTGGAATGATACTGATTCCTTGTCTGAGATGTTCAGAAGGTAATTTACTAAGTTGCAAACAAGGAGAAGAAATTGCATGTTTCAAACAAGAATATTCAAATAATGGGTACTAAATGGTTATCTGTGGACAACCCAGTTCAGATTGAAACAGGATAAATCATTGATCCTGCATATGCAGTGCTTTTTTGTCGTTTCTGCTGAGTGCCCAGGCCCCTAGTGCATTGCAATAACCCTAAAACCTCTAGGCTTGGCACTCATCCACTCATTGGGGTTGGGTAGGTGCTGATGGAATTCTTCCCATATCGTATGACCAGTCCCATTGCCCCGGGTCCAGCTGCCAGCCTAGTTCTTTTTTTTTTTTCTTGCCTTTTTTGCTGTCTGCTGGATGGGGTGATTCATGAGGGTGCTGTATCCCATGTCACAAAAGCACCATGCACAAGAGAGGTAAAGAAACTTGGCCACTGTGGCAGGGTTCCGCATGGCCCAGTCTTGGGGCATTAGAAGATTAGTGTGTCCTCGAGTTTCAGAGCCCCTTTTGCTTAGTCTTTTTCAGATCCCCTTTGCCCCTCATTTGTGGGTCTGTCATTATTTAAAGCTTAAATATCTGGGCTGCTTGCGTAATCCAGGGAAATGATTTGTGTAACTCATTTCAGAACCAGAACCTCTCTGATAAAACTTGCAACATGTGACTTGGACCAAACATTTAAGGAAAGTACCACAAGGCTCTAGGCTGGGCCCACTATTTTTCCTTATTAGCAGTTATTCACTGAAGGTCACCTGTTGAACAATTGTGGACAAAAGTTAAGAGCAAATTCAACTATATATTTTTTTTGATGACAGCTTGTTGTTTGAGCATGTAAAAGAATTCATCTGAATCTTTAGACTGTATTACTTCATATTTTTATTACAGATGGTGAATGGTAAGTCATTGTTATTTTTATCTAATCCTATCTTCACCTAATCCTAAGTGTGGGTCACTCATCTCTTGAAGTGAGTACAGCTAATAATGATTGCATCTTTGTAGTAATGCCTTTGATAACATTATAAGGAGTGGCTGAACCATATGTCATATAAGCAATGATAATAATAATAAAATAATAATTTCAGATTATTTTCCTTTTTTGTTCACAGATATAAAATGAGTGCACTCTGTATTCGGTCAATCCAACTAGCAGTAATTGTACTGCTTTTCTCAGCTGCCCTCGAGGCAATCAAGACGACTCAACGGCCAAAATACCAGTACACAAAGAAGCCTCCCCGAGAGTTGGTCCAGACTACCACATATGCTGGCAAACCAACAGTCACGGCAAGAATTGTGGACTACACCAAGCCAAAAGAGCGCATTCCTGTTGTTATCACACAAAGTACCACTATCCCTGCCGACGTTTATGTGGACTACCACACCGACACTACAATGTCACCTAATGGTGTACAGGACAACTACACTCTGGACTATAATGAATGCTACTTCAACTTCTGTGAGTGCTGCCCTCCAGAACGAGGCCCTCAAGGATTAAAAGGGGACATGGGGCTTCAAGGTGAGTGTTCAGTGGTATCTGTGTATACAAATCTCAATTCCCAAAAAGTTGGGACAGTATGTGTAATGCTAATAAAAAACAGAAAGCAGTAATTTGTAGATTTGTTTTACCTGTATTAATGTGAGAACTGTACAAAAACACAAAGTAAATGTTATTGTTTTTTTTTTGTAAATATATGCTCATTAAAAATTCTATGTCCGTAATACATTCTAAAAGAGCAGGGACCAAGTGTATCACTGTGTTACATCACCTTTCCTTTTACCACTGAACAATCATTTAGGACAGAAGACACCAACTGATCCCTCAGAATTATAGAAGCTGGCTTTTAAACTTTATGCTGAAAACAAACCGGAATGGTCTTTTTCTGCTTTTGCCTGGACATGATGCCCACTTTTTCTATAAAAAGTCTAAAAAGGTTGACTCATTAGACCACATCCGCTGTGCATCAGTCCACTTTAGACAAGCTTTAGCCCAAAGAAGTTGATGTTGTTGTGGCTGGTATATTGTAGAGGGAAACACCTCTGCCTTCTTTGTTGTAGACTGAGGTTCAAGCACCCTCTACTACACCAATAAGAGTCCGTAGGCAAGATTCGTAACACTACCTTCGCCTACCTCTGTAAAAATGATCAAACTGTAAGTCACTCTGGACAAGAGTGTCTGCCAAAAGCTGTAATTGTTGTTGACATAACTTTCCACTGTGCATAGTACACAGTCTTAGCATGCATTTGTGGAAGCAACAATGACTTGTCGAAATATTCCTGAGCCCATGTGGTGAGACCCATCATAGAAACACACCGATTTTTAATGCAGTGCTGCCTGAGGGAATCCAAAGTCAGTTGCATTCTTGTCCTTGCCTTTTATACACAACAGGAGTGAAATACCTAAAATCATTGCAGTTATTGTTCTTAAATTGCGGGATTACTTGCTGATGCATTTTTGGCAAAGTGGGGAGCCACAACCTTTCCTTTGTCTTAAAGGACTAGGCCTTTCCTGGATGCTCCTTTTGTACCTATGCATGTACTGTTAAGAACCTGTTCCAACTTTTTTGGATCATATTACATGGATCAGTTTCAGAATGAATACATATTTACAAAAAACAATTCATTTGATAAGATAAAACATTAAATATCTTTGTAAAGTTTTTTGTTTAAATACAGGTCAAAGTGGATTAACAAATCACATACTGTCCCAACCTCTTGAAATGAAGTTTGTGTTGAGTTCTTCTTAATCAAAAGGCCTGAAATCAAAGTTATCTATGGATTATTGCAAAACGTGAGCCTGGCTAATCTGTATGAGGTGCTTTGTAGGACCTCCTGGTCAAAAAGGGGAACCAGGACCCAAAGGTCCTCCAGGCCCTTTCGGTCCAGCTGGAACTCCAGGATTCAAGGGAGACAAAGGTGAGAATTGTGTAGCACAGTTAAAATAATGAAAAAAATATTATGTTGTCATATTTATATGCAATGCCATAGGAGAAAAAGGTGAGAAAGGAAGCAGTGGATCTGTAGGCTCTCCAGGCATTACAGGGAAGGCTGGAATGAAAGGTACATTTCATACTTATTACAATGGTATTGGGCCATGCATACCATAAAGGTATGATCTTCATAAACGACACAAATAGCGGTTATATTTTTCTTTTAAAATAGGTGATACTGGCACCAAAGGTGAGAAAGGGGCAAGTGGTCTGCCAGGACTCAAAGGTGCCAAAGGTGAAAAAGGAGAACCTAGTGAGAATACAACTAAAGGTGACAAGGGTGTGCCAGGTAAAGACGGACCGCCAGGACCCCCAGGCTTCACTGGAGAAAAGGGTGAGAAAGGTGAAAGGGGAGAATGTGGCCTGCTGGGAGACAGGGGACAGAAAGGAGAGCCAGGCGATGTCGGGCCCCCAGGAGTCCGGGGTGATCCCGGACCTTCGGGGCAACATGGAATGCATGGGAATCCTGGGATACCCGGAGAACGTGGTGAACCTGGGAGCCCAGGAACCAAAGGGGAACCAGGAGCGAGAGGCCCTCAAGGATTAAAAGGTATGAGAGGTATAAGAGGAATGAAGGGGGAGAAGGGTCCTAAAGGAAAGCAAGGTGATCGTGGACTTCGAGGATTAAAAGGTACAGCAGGTGATACTGTTGGGCGACTGCGCTCCGCCTTCAGCGTGGGCCTCTACCCCAGCAAGTCCTTCCCAGCGTCAGGCTTTCCGGTCCGCTTCGACAAAATATTCTATAATGGAGAAAACCATTACGACGTTGCCTCCAGCAAGTTCAACTGTACCTACCCGGGTGTTTATGTGTTCTCTTACCAGTTAACGGTGAGGAACAAGCCCTTGCGCGCTGCATTGGTGGTAAACGGGGTGCGTAAACTGCGCTCACGAGACACCCTTTATGGCCAGGACATTGACCAGGCCTCCAGCCTGGTGCTTCTGAAGCTCGCTGCTGGGGATCAAGTGTGGGTGGAGACCCTTAGGGATTGGAACGGTGCCTACTCAAGCAGCGAGGATGACAGCACCTTTTCGGGGTTCTTGCTCTATCCTGACTGAAATCCCTTCTGAACTGCAAAAACAGATCTTGCACTGAAATCTGCCTGGTCATTGTGTGAAGGCCCAGTTACAGGCTCTAAGAAGAAGATGTCCTTTCATGCTTACATATAACCATCTCTCCTTACTACTAAATCTTAACCTGGGGGACCAGCCCTGTTTCTGGAGACTTTCCATTCTACAGAGTTTAGCTCCAACCTAAAAAAAAATCTCATTCATGCTTTTCTGTGTAGACATACACTGTCTGTGTTTGTAGGGAGATCGACTTGATTAAGGTTTTGCCATTTTTGTTTTCCATACCAACTGCTGGGATTACTGGTAAGGACCGAATCCAATTTTTTACTCCACCCTGGTAAAATCTGGTAAATTACATGGGAAATACAAAACACTAAAATTTGGCATAATTTGCTAAGAGTTTTTAGATAATCCCTGAAGGTTACAATCTGAATTTTGTCTTTCTTGAAGACTTTAATCCACTTTAAACCCTAAGGGCATTCATGTGGGCCCACATTTCAATTCTTCATTCTTAGTTCACAGTACAGTACTGTGCAAAAGTCGAAGATCATTCATTTACCTAAAATGTGCATTAAGTACATGTTATTCAGTTTTCATCATCAGCAGAAACCATATTTAGCCATGTTCGATTTATTACAGCTTCCATTCTTTTCAGGAAACTTACTTCAAGTTTTTCGAAGAAAAAGTTCACCCTTAGAAGTTGGTTTTGCAGAAAGCCTCTCACAACAAAATTTAGACTCATCTGTACATAAAACTGTCCACCACAACTCAGATGTCCAGTTTTGGTGTTCTCATTTTAAAATGTTTTGTTTGTCCATTTCCCTTTTCTTAGCTTGAAAGCTACACATCCTTTCAGACCCATAGCGCTGAGTCATCTTCTCACAGTGGAAGGATGGACAGAAACACCTGTGGATGTTTTCAGATCAGTTCAGCTTTTCAGCTCTCTCCCATTTTCTCTGTAGGTTTTAATAATTTTCCAGTTCTCCATTCTCCAGTTCCAGAATCTCCAGTGTTTTCACTTGCCTTTCGGATTCCTTATGCAAGTGGATTGTCTTATATCTGGTCTTATCACAAATATCTACTGAAAAATTAATAACTTAATGAACTTAATGGCTGTTTTGACTGGACATTAAATGAATGACAGTGACTTTTGCAAAGTACCATAAACGTTAGTACGTAGTAGTTGCTGAAAAATGTTATAATATCTGAACAATAAGCCCGTTCAAGGATTAATCTGTCCTTGAACAGATTAGTGATATGTCACCAAAAGCTTCAGTCTTCATGGCTTGTTATATGCCTTATAATGATGATGGATTTGTTTCTCTTTAATAGTGCATACTGTACATTGTAGAAGCAAGGTAATATGTTTATTACTGATAGTCTGTAACAGTCATGTATGATATACATATTTAAAAAAAAACAGTATTGCTATATGAGCTGTAAATCAGGCAATTGTGCATATGTATTAAAATCAAATAAGAAATATGATCTTATGGTCTCCACGTCTGTCCTGGCAAAATGATACAAGATGAAACATGCAATAGTAGTGTCTCATTTAGATGGAGAATCATTTTTATATGGCTTCAATCCAGTTGAAGCAAGAACAGACCTCTGAAGTCATGGGTTAAATCAGATCATAAGCTAATGCTAGCGCTAACTGGTTAATGTCAGATGAGAGACATTGATCGTCTACATGAGGTGAATTACCTTCTGCTCAGTGAATGATGTTGGAACATGTTAGCTTGTCGAGGTAACATTGAGAACAGAGAAATGTCTTTTCTCATTTTAGCTAGGTTAGCCTAGCCACACTGTTACTTCAGACCTCTCAGGCATGTCTGTGTTACATTAAGGCTCTTGTGTTTCGTAAAAATGTTAGCAAAGTAGACTAATATACAGCAGTAAAACAGGCGCTGAGCTGCCACTTTTAGGTACACCTACCTTGTACCTCGGAAGACTTGCTAGCCTAAACAAAGAGACGTCATTTTTGCAAATGTCTGAACGGTATCAACCTTTTCAGTGTTAACATTTAACATTTACAGCTCTACATGTGAGATTTTGACCTTGAAAGAACTTCACACCAACTTTTGACAGCAGTATTTATGTAACACCGCTAGCTGTTTTCTATACTAGAAAAATGAATGCTCTGCTAGAAAACTAGCATAGACCAGCATGGCTCATCACCAGCACAACCTGCATCTGTTGTGTTTTGATGCTGGTACACTGGTCAACCAGCATGACCATGCTGGGGTGACCAACTAAACCAGAACCAGCACAGACTAGCACGAAATGCTCGCTGGTCTCTGCTGTTTTATCAGTAGGGTGGCGTTTTCAAAAATCACTTCCATCACATCCTGTAGTAAACGAAAATGTTCCAGAGCCCCCACGGCATTTTATCGTGCAAAACCATTAGCCTGCCTCCCTGCTAGAAAAAACAGCATAGACCAGCATGACTGGTCACTAGCAAAACCAGCATATGTTTTGTTTTGGATGCTTGGTGACCAGCATAATCCAGCATAGACCAGAATGGAATGCATGCCGGTCTGGGCTGTCTATTTCAGGGTTGTTGCATGTGTGTAACATATTATTCATATTCATATTCATATTTTGGCTGCTAAACAGCCTCATAATCCAAAAGATCCAGTGACATTAAGGGAAGAAAATGCATGTAGGACAAAACATATCAGGTTTGGAAAATTTTTGTTTACCATAGGCGCAATGTCAGCGTTTTTTCTAAAATGTTATTCAGACGCAGAGTTCTTAACATGGGCAACACATCGACTACAATGTATGACTTCAGAGGTCTATTAGGATCAGATGTAAGAAAACATCATTTATAGAAGGGGCTCTAAACTCCAGTCCTGTGTGGCCATAGTGCAGCTGATGAACTGGCTGAGAGAAAGCCAGCAGTTGAAATCCATGGCACGTTCCGGTCCGAGACTTGGCTCTAGACAAAAAGACACAGTCATTAAATATCAAGGTGAGCTCCTTTATTTTTTTTTTGCTGTTTGAATGTGAAGGTGAACCTAAAACTGCCCATTGTTTTACCTCCTGAATGTTTCTCACATAAAGGCACACAAGAATATCAAACCAGGGGTCACAATTTCCACAACACGGACAAAAGCATTTTTCTTTGGGGACTATTTTGCCCTACATTTTTAAAAAAAGGGTTCTTTAGTAAAGAAATAGTTCTGTATAGAACCATGCATACTCATAGAACCATTTGCATTCTAGTTCTTTGCATAGTGAAATAGATCTTCAGAATGATGGAGAATCTGTTATATATAGTTCTATACAGCTTAACATTGTGAGAACAGCAGAACCCTTTTTGGTGCTATATAGAACCATTTTTAAGAAGGTTCAATAAAGAACCATATACAACACATACTCCATCAATCTGAAGAATGTTTTCACCATGCAAGTAACTATTTGAGCATGCAAAGGGTTCTTTGAATGTTCATGGTTCTATATAGAAGTCAGAATTCTAAATAGAACTGTTGTCTTTACTGAAGAGCCCTTGAAGAACCATACTTTAAGACTGTACAATGCCCTCCATCATGAATGGGTTTAAAAATGTTTAAAATCTATGCCAAAATCTTCTCAAAACTACTGTCAAACAATGTCTCGAGCATCAGACGTCTGGTTCCTATCACCACCACAGTGAACAATTCCTGCTTCTCTCGAACTTCACACCTTTAGATTTCACATCACATCACTCTAAATAACTGTTTACATCATGTTTACATTAATTATACAGATTTTAAAACTGTGTGGTTCCAGTTTAAGACCTACCATGTTGTTCTAGTCCCCAGTGTACACTGTGTGTTTATAGTGAATTAGAACTCACACTTGAGGCTGAGTGGTCTTTTCTTGGATTCTGCTCTACTGCATTTACTTCCAGCTCTAATCCACCACATCTCATCCAGGTAGTTAATATCTCAAAAAGAGCTCTAGTAGCTGAATGAGTCCTTTACATCTGAGGCTTTCACTGCCTTACTGTTTAAAGTTCTCATCCCTTTCTGCTGTTTTAACCCTTCACATGGCCAGGGCTGGCCATCAGGCCCAAAGTTTTATTACATACTTCTATAAACTAAGAATAGCTCAGTCAGTTTGCACTGAAGTCCTTGTAATTACTGAATAATAAGTCTTAGTATGTAACAAGCCTGTGATTTTAAGGGGTTAACTCAACTCATTCACTGTGGTCTAACCCATATGTAGTCTCATTTACCTGTCACCCCTTTCTGCCATCTTAAAGGGGAATTCCACCAAAATTTAAAGATTTCTGCATAGTTTAATCGTCAAGATATTCAGTCATTCAGAGTGGTTTGGTGTCAAATAGGTTATTGTAGAGAAATGTACTGACTCAGACTTCTTTACAGTGGTGGTGATGGGAACCAGGGGTGATGACCATGGTCTGCAGCACAAATATAGCCATTTTATTTACTATCTAAAACCACCTGAACCTATACGTGTCTTCTGAGATTAAAAAATAATCTGATTTTTTTTCTTTGGGTGCTTTGTGAATGGCTTTAAAAAAACATTTAAGCCTAAAAGCTGATCTCAGAACTACCATACAACAGCGTCTCAGGCAACACTGTGAATAATTCTGTAAGTTTCTCTACAACGAAGCAATTCACATCAAACCTCTCTGAATTATTTTGTTTATTTCTTATTATTATTTAATCCTGCAGAAATTTTGAGAAATCGGTGGAATTCCCCTTCAACTCAAGTAATTCACTGTAATCTATGTAAGGGCTGCGGGTGCAGCAGGTCATAGTACGTCAGTTAAGAGGATGTTAAGTGGGTTTCAGTGTAGAAGTGCATCATATTGCAATACTCTCCAACGACAGCTCTTACATAAATGAGGCATAAGTTACGTATGTAATGTGTTTTTACATAAAAATGCCAAAATTTTGGGCTCTTACCTACCTTTTAGCGCTTGTAATCATCTGGCCTGACCTCCAGGTTCACCTGCTCACTCACTCTTTCCAACTGCAGAGCTCTCACACGAACTCTGCAGGAGTAGAGCCCGGCGTCATCTTCTTCTATGAATGGGATGAGGTATGTTTCGAGGGGCCCCAGCCTGGAGCCATCTTTCAGGAGGTAGTAGTCTACACTCAGGCCTTTGTCTCTTACATTTAGCTGGGTCACACACCTTATGACCACCCTTTCGCCTCTCTTCACCGACTTTTCTGGCTCAATTTCCACCACAGGAGTGTTGAGTTTATCTGTGATCAAACAGGAGATGATGAGCGCTGATCTGTTATGATCAATATATTAAAGGAATGCACTGCTAACAGTGAACAACACCTCACAGGGCAGATTAGCACAATGCAAATTAAATAATGCTATCTGGTCCCTAGTTAGGTTGTCATGACAACAAATTTTGAAAAATGAATGAGTTATTTGTGTCCATTATTGTGTCTATTATTTTCCTATTACGTAATTCAGTAAATGAATGGCATATATCACATTAACATACAAGACCTCCTTTAAGTGAATCCGTCTTCAGCGCATCAAATTAAAATTCATTTCAAGCATTTGTGCCTCCTAAAGTCTAACAACAAGTGAAGTGGCGCGACTGTCCAATCATTTATTTAACTATTAAAAAGGGGTGATTTAGTTGTATAAAATTCAAAAGAAAATAGTTTGGCTTGATTTTATGCTTGACACATAACGTGTAACAAAATAGGGCAGCTTCAACTCACTGAAAAATGTCTTAATTCTGATTTGGTGAACCGTGAACAAAGGACTTTTATTATTACATGTTCTTAAGAAAGCACGGGCAGGGTATTGCATCCTAAAGAAAACCCCAAGTGACCCTCATGGTGCAGTGCCACCAAAGTCATATGGTGTAACCACAGGAAAACCATGAAAATGTGTTATTATTATAATAATTTTTATTTATTAAATGGATTTCATTGAATAGATTTTCCTTCCATACTTCTGATGTTTTTTTTTGTGAAACACAGTATCAGGGAGGATCTCTGAGCTGAGAGTTTTCTCTCCATGATAGGCAGGCCAGATTACTGCACGGACTTATCTGGGCTGAAGCCCAGGGGCCCTGAGTAATTCCAGGCCTCTGATTGGCCCTTTTTTATTTTTACTTTTCCCCCTACCCAGATTGACGACAGACTTACCAATCAAATTAAGCCAACTTCGTGAGATAATTAAATTTAATTTGTTTTCTCTGTGCTGTCGCTGTATTATAATCAATGAATTTATTACGCTCTGCCTTCTTTTCTAAGCCCTCCAATCACTGCACGGCAACCGCTGCTATCCTCCATTGCCTCAAGCTCAGTTTGTTATCAGTGCACCAGTGTTTGATGTAACTGAGGGCGGTTAAATGTGAGATGCCGACCCATAGAATGTGTCACTTTCTACCGTCATCATCATTGGTTTTCTATGAATTTGGCACTTACAACGCTTTATGACTACAATGGCTGAAATGGGCTTTGTGAAAGTGTCAAGGCAAGCATCTAACATTACTTCAATGAACCAAAGGTAGGACAAAAATGGACCATTAACATTTTTGTATGCCCGCCGTGGCAGTATGCTTCACCTACGGGTCTGCAAGTTCGTAAAATTGTGTCTACCAAGTTAGCCTAGCCACTGTTTCACAGGCCTACCCAAATGTTTACTTCTTCCTACACCTCTGGATCAGTTTGGTGCAAGTATTAAATCTTGACTGACTGTGGCTTTTAGTGGTTTGGTTCTGTGTATAAGTTTGATGAGGCTAAAACTGGCTTCTTATTTGCCAGCTTTTTATTTGTATTTTCCGTTCCACTTCAAGTGGCGCAGCAGTCACAGGGCTCAGAATGCCACAGCGGCGCCATTTAGGTGGCTAAATTCAGCTTTGTTTAAGTCTCTGCATTAATGGAAAGATGATGAATGGCTGGTGTGTGCACTTTCATTAAAAATAAAGCTTTTGAGTCTTTGGACACTGTATCTACAACCACAGAGCCCAGGACCACCTGTAGCCCCAGGTCCCACAAGCAGGTTAAAGCACTCCTGATGATTAGTGATGGGAGGGGGAGGTAAACATGATATTACTGGTTAGTCTTATACTTCCCTGCTCTTGATAACAAAATCAACAATCAGAAGACATTTTAGAGGTGGGACCAAAGTCATTACATTTTGCTGTAAGATTATGCGAAATCATGCTTAATATGATCAGGGACAGGATAAAAACAGTCAGCTTTGATTTTAGGTGGACTTTACATGTTAAGTATTCCTTTAGCAATTTAACAAGGATTCCTCAAATGGGGTTTCTCGTTCTCCAGCTGGCGAATGAGAAGCGACTTCAGCCTCGTAAAAAGTACAACATTGAGAGACGTTTTACAAGAAACTGTTCTACTTTTGCGGAAAAGTTTCCAGCTGGTGATGCAAGAAAAGCAGCTACAGCTGAGCTAAAGTGTAAAGCAGAGCAAAGTGAGTCTGCTTTTTTGTTTGTATTGTATTTTTAGCCTGCACTGGGACATTAGCACGTACTGAGACACATGTACAGCCAAGATGGTCAAATGAACTCAAAATGTTGTGGCACCCAATTAGGTTTGATTTTTGCTGAAAGGACAAATAGGCTCTTCTTAACATGTGGGTTGCGACCCCTGCACTAGCTTTTAATGTCGTGTGCACGCCACAGATTGTCTGGGCGCTGCACTTTCGCACTTTGCAAAGTTACGCCTTTTGTGTTCCGTCAACATTACGCTATCAATTAAAATTTAGAAAATCGATTTTTGACATTTGTGCATTGATTCAGAATCATCCACATTCGCATCGCGATGCATCTACGAATCAATTTTTCCCACGCCCCTACTGTACACTGTTTATCCTATGCTCACAGGAATTACCTCTGTGTTGGGCTGGATTTGATTATGAATAATGTCTTACCTAACACAGCCACATAAGCAGGCAGGGACTGGGCAGAGTGATATTCAAAACCCTGGACCCACGTGGCTCTGCACCAGTAACTGCCCTTGTCCTTCAGCGCGAGTTTTGGAAACACCAGGTCTTTGTCCTTCAGTTTGTGGATCTCAATCCCATCCTTATAGAAGACCACCTCCACCAGCACGGGTTCATCCCGAATGCGACAAGTCAAGGTCATTCTTTCCTCAATGAGTAAAGGCTCAGCTGGGATTCGCAGAAGGGCCCAACCACCTAAAGATCAGGGAAAAGTTACACGACAGGAACAATAAACTCTCATTATACAAGTAACACGAATAACACTGTAGCTAGGACACATATCAGTGAAGATAAAGACGTCCATAGAATTAATCAAATAAATGTAGAAGTCCTTTAAATTTACATTTGAGTGGAATGAAAAAAGTAGGTCTACCTGTTATAATTGTATGTAAGCATCAAATATAAAGTGCTGTGATATTCATATGGCATAAGATTTCTATGTGTGTCAGATTTTATAATATGCTGCCACTTCTTGCATTCTGGCCTAAAACTAGAATTTGACATGTCATTTGTTATGTTTTCATTTGTCCATGTTCTCTTATCACAATGCCCAGGGGGCATTTTGCAAATGGGTCATACTACAGAAATGTCCATTTTTATGTCCCTAGCGTTTAGAGATATATTACACTTAAAAACATGTTAGGGTTAAAATGTATTTATACTTAAAAATAAAGCAATAAGTTATTTTAATAATTACACCTTCTTCAGCCATAAATTTAGCAATATTGTTTTTTTTAATCAATTATCTAGAATTCCAAGCACCACAAAAGTGCTTGTCCCCACAGTCAAATGTAAAGGCTGAGGCCATATTTTGAAGAAAAAAAAACATGTTTTTCTGCAATTTTAACTACAATAATCTATACATGACTATGAAATATATAAATTAAATGACATAAAGGAAACAAATGACAAATAAATAAATATAAAATATATAAAGAAAGTTGTTGTCCCCAGGAGTCGTGTCACTGGTGTTACTGCGTAACAAAAAATCTCTTATTTTGAAATAAAAATCACACTGATGACATCACTTGACCTCCTTTTACCTATTTTCTGAAGATCTATGAAGAAAAGCTCATGGTGAGTCCACTATGACTTTTCAGTTATCAGAGATTTTCTCATTTAGCTCATGATTTCATATGAAGCTTTTAGTTGAAGTCACTGGTGTGACCTACTGTATTCTGAGGTAATTGGGAACAAATAGAATACAAATGGATTAAATTACATATTTTGGATCAAAGACAATGTTCTTTTTTTTTCTGGAGATCTTCTGATAAACTTTAGTCTATTAGGCGCTGAGTTAGCTCATGTATAATCTGATTTTGGGTCGTGGGCTGGAGGTTAGTGAACCATCCTTGTGACTGAAAGGTTGCCAGTTCGATCCCCTCTGCCAACAGAACGTGACTGCAGTGCCCTTGAGTAAGGCACCTAACCCCCAACTGCTATGGATAGGGCTGCCCACCGCTCCGGGCAAGTGTGCTCACTGCCCCCTAGTGTGTGTGTGTTCACTAGTGTGCATGTATGTGGGTGTTTCACTGCATGGATGGGCTAAATGCAGAGGTCTAAGTCCTCTGTGTGCAAAACACAGTAGGCTAATGGTTCTGAATTAAAATTAGATTTCTGCAGGTATGTGATTATTTAAATGGTTGTGTAAACACTATACTCTGATTTCTGAGATCAGAGTAAGGTCTAGAAATTAAGAAATCCAATAAAGAGCTGGATTTTAGCTCAGTAATCAGATTTCTCAGTGCATGTAAACTCATGTGTGAAAACAGATGGTGGTAATAAGCGAGCAGCGCCGCCATGACACGCAGCAAAACACTTTTGGAGCAACGCTGAAACTGAAAACATGCTTGATGAAATGAAGGATTTAAATATTCTTCATCTTCTAGATGGTGTATGTTCATATTTTCAGGCACAGTGGTGCAATGTTTAAAAAAAAAAAAGCAGTAGCATGAAGTTTGAGTTTTACATTACGTTTACATCACGTCTTCTTCTGCGAGTTTATTGGCTGGTTGCAAAGCAGAAATCTGATTATTGTCTGACTCATGTAGACCTATTACCCAAGTGCATGTAAATGCACTCAACGTCTATTATAAATAGCTTTATATCAGGGGGGCCAAAGTGCACTGTTTGTGGTGGGCCAAGGGCCAAAAAAACAAATAAAGGTCAAATCAGGTTTTTGAAACACATTTTATAAAACTGCACCATAAATTGTTACTACAATTCTCAAAGTACAAACTTTAAAGGGAAATAAGAATTGAATGAGTTGTAGTATAAGAATATGTTTGCTCTCCTATTGGGTGATGGGGTGGGGATGGGGTTGGGCTAAGTTTCTAGAGGGCCAATCAAACATCCTCATAAGCCCAACTTGAGCCATGGCCCACGTTTTGGGCAGCCCTGATCTATGTTTAATGAAACTGAACTTGAAATAAAGTGAACAAAAGAAAAACTTACCGTCCACATGTACAGTGAGTGGCTCGCTTGGAAGTGTCTGCACTGAATAGGGCCAGGTGTCAATGTCCTTCTCTCCATAACAGGTATAGTTTCCTCCTTCCTGGACTTGAGCCTTTTGCAAGCGGTAAACATCGAAGATCCCCAAAGACACCTCATTCTGGAACCAGTGGTACGTCCATTTGGGTGCAGGTTGATCAGGTACACTGCAGGTGAGTTGGACGTCTTCCCCTGAGAAGAGCCGAGCCTCCCCCATGCTCACCTTCACTTTGGCCCTTATTGGAAGAGGGGTGGGCTTTGGCTCTGCAAGAGTGAGGGCAGGGTTTGTTAAAGGGAACCTAAATACATATTTTCTTTCTAATTAGGTTAAACTTGCTTTGCACAAAATACTTATATGCAAAGGTTTGGTCAAATTCCATGTTTTGATGATTTTGTGAGTGAAAGTAAGTTAACAGCAAACACACCTCTGCACATTTAAATGCATTAATTTACTGCATAAATTACTGTTTATTTTCTAAATTTAACATACAGGGGGAAATGTGGGCTGTGCAAAAGTTTTGGCACATTTTATTTTATTTTTGGCAAGGTGTTCAACTCGGCAATCAAATAACAATACTGCACTAAAATTAGTAGAAAAAGTCTTTGAAGAAGATGTGTTATCATGTTCGCTTAGAAAATCAACAATATGCCACTTCACAAGGAGCACACAAACTTTTGCATTTGACTGTATGCAAAACTGTATGATTTGGATGGATTAAGGCATTTACATGACCAAACAAAGTTAAATAATGTGGTCAAAGTACTGCTGGTCAATGTTTAATCATGTCACCAAAAGTGTTGTAATATGTACAACACTTGATTATGATTATGTAGGCATTAGAACAGTTTGGTAATTCTTATACTGCAGTAATTATTACAAGTTAAAATATTGCAGTTTTAATTTTTCCACCAAAATTGCTCAGCCTGAGTTGGGAGTGGTAACATGGGCTACAAAGTAATGGCATTTACTGTTCTAGATGCCATGTTTGTCTCGACAGTTTTGCAAAGAATCATTTCTAAAGTTGCATTCAAAAGTCCTGAGGTTAAAGTGGACGTCCACCAATTTTTAAAAAATTCTGTAAGATGTAAACAAAGTCATTCAGAGTGGTTTGGAGTGACATGCTAAGTCAGAATTGTTCACAGTGACAGTGATAGGAACCAGATGTCTGAAGAGTTTAATGCCTCTATTTACTGACTTAAAACCATAATAATTCTAACAACAACAACAATAATAATAAAATAATAATAATAATAATAATAATAATGTCAAACGTACTACATACCCTCAGACTTGACATTTGCAAGCAAGGTTAAAATGGCTACAAAAAGAGAAAAAAAATGATTAGTCTTCAAAACCACATCAGACTTCATATGCATACCCATCTTAATCTTTGCTGTCACTCACCAATAGTTCCAGGTAAGACGTACATGGTGCTGGTGTTGCTGTGCTCTGTGATCCGTGCAAAAGACTCTAACCCTTTGTATGGTGAAAGGGATCCAGAGAATTTCCTCTTTTTTATGCTTAGAAGGCATAAAAACAGGAAAAGAGCACTTGCGTGTCTTCCTTTATGGTGAAAGTGGTCGAAGATACGGTAACCTGCAAATGCAAAACAAACGAGGACCCGTAAATGGCTGGAAGCACCAGTAACTGCCCTTGTCCTTCAGCGCGAGTTTTGGAAACACCAGGTCTTTGTCCTTCAGTTTGTGGATCTCAATCCCATCCTTATAGAAGACCACCTCCACCAGCACGGGTTCATCACGAATGCGGCAAGTCAAGGTCATTCTTTCCTCAATGAGTAAAGGCTCAGCTGGGATTCGCAGAAGGGCCCAACCAACTAAAGATCAGGGAAAAGTTACACGACAGGAACAATAAACTCTCATTATACAAGTAACACGAATAACACTGTAGCTAGGACACATATCCTGCACTGAGTGAAGATAAAGACGTCCATAGAATTAATCAAATAAATGTAGAAGTCTTTTAAATTTACATTTGAGTGGAATAAAAAGTAGGTCTACCTGTTATAATTGTATGTAAGCATCAAATATAAACTGCTGTGATATTCATATGGCATAAGATTTCTATGTGTGTCAGATTTTATAATATGCTGCCACTTCTTGCATTCTGGCCTAAAACTAGAATTTGACATGTCATTTGTTATGTTTTCATTTGTCCATGTTCTCTTATCACAATGCCCAGGGGGCATTTTGCAAATGGGTCATACTACAGAAACGTCCATTTTTGTGTCCCTAGCGTTTAGAGATATATTACACTTAAAAACATGTTAGGGTTAAAATGTATTTATACTTAAAAATAAAGAAATTTATTTATTTATACTTTCAACTAAAGACCTGGAAATGGCTGGAAGCATGAAATATATTTTTAGTGAGCTGCAATCACAACACATCACAGAATCTGCTTCACTCATTCATAAACTTTAATTCTCAGTATCGGAGGTTTCACTGGGTAAACGGCTACAAAGCCATTACAGAATGTGCAGTCCTTGGGCACAGTCCATTTAGGGTGCAGTAACATATGCAAGGGCTGCAGTTTGCATGCGGCAGTGACATTTTTGGGAGTCACCATCTCACTTATTTACTTATTTATTTATTTAAACATACATATATAGTTCAGGGACTACAGCTATCATGAACATGTCCATGCCTTTAAACCACTGTTTAGGTCGAAGTATCATCAAGATGGTCAGAATGGAGTTCAATCAGCTCCCAGAGCTAGAACATGATTAAATATCTTGGATACATAAAAGGGACTGTCTTCCTATGATTAAAACAAACAAACAAACAAACAAACAAACCAATAACGGAGGCTTTCTTAAGACAGTACGGATACTGTAACTGGTAGTAGGAATCAAACAGCAGTATGTCAGTATTCTGGCAGAGGTGCAGTACTTTCACATTCATACGTCTAAAGTTGCAACTATCTGGGATCTAAATCTGCTTTAAAGCCCTAATCATGAATAGCCTTTCCTACTCAAACAGCAATAAGGTTTCAAATGGCCATCAACTTTAATAATAAATTACAAAATAGTAGTGTGCAATAGTCAGAAACCACCCTTCTTTACTTAATTTCCAGTCAAAACAGCCACTAAATAGAAATAACAGCTGGAAATACTGTCAAATTTTTCAGTATTTAGTGTCCACTCTTTGTCTTTATTACAGGTTCCATTCTTTTCAGGTCACTCACTTTCAGTTTCTCAAAGAAATCTGCAGCCACACCTCCTAAGTTCAATCTTAGAAGTTGGTGACATTTTCTGCTCCTCATGATCCGAGTAATCCCAAACATTCAGTGATGCTGAGGTCTGAACTCTGGTGGTCAGTCCATTGTTCTGAAAACATTAGCAGCTTCTTTGTGTTTTCCTACTTTTCTCAGTAAGGGCTTCCTGACAGCATCACATCCTCTCATTCTTTGTTAGGAGGCCCATTTTCTCTGTAGCTTTCAATTTTTTTTCAACTACAGTTCTGGAAACTCTTGTTTTTTTTTGCCCCACTTATTTTTCCTTTTGAATTTCTCTTTCTTAAGCAAGATTATCTTAAATGTAATCTCCTCAGAAATATCTCCTGAAAGTATCCCCTATAACTTGTACTTATTGGCTGTTCTGACCTGAAATTAAATGAATGAAAAGTGGTCTATGACTTTTACACAGCATTCTCTCTAGCACTAATGGCTGGGCAGCTGTGTTCCTGACCAGGGCTTTATTGATGTGACATTGAATTACCTTTAAAAGAAGTCAGAAAGTCACTATTTAACATCCCAATGTTGGATGTTATTGTACTTAAGTTGTACTGCCTGTACACCGTAGTGTCCATCAACAGTCTGCATGCAAACCATATATTCCTTGAATTGTAACATGGGTATGAGCTGGTGTTCAACTTGTTCACAGTGCATCATTTCATTCAAAATGTTAGTAACATAGCTGACATGTTAACACAAAGTTTTACCACAGTAACCACATTGACTAAAAATCTAAATTCTCAGTTGCTCTGATTGTTCACATTCAACCAAATAAATATCAAAACTAAAAAGACTGTGGAGTGATTTGGTTTCAGCGGAGCCTAACTTCATGACCACAAACATCAATTAAATACTCTAATAAATAATATAAAATGCATATAAGACTAAATCCCAAGTGAGTTCACTTGCCTGTACAGAACAGCAAGGAATATCCCTGATTAATACCCAAAACCTTGCTAACTTTTCATCCATGTTTCCTACTGAATAAGAAGTAACGACAAAAATAAATCCATTTCCATTTAGGCTGAGACTTTGTGAACTGAGGACTGAACTATATATACTTTATATTAAAAGTGCATAAGAATGGCTACTCCGACCTGCCTTCACTTAAACAGAGTGAAAGATGCCAAGGACAGAGAGGATGATGTTAAGAGAGCTGGCCAACACTTCACTGAGCTAAGACCAAACTGCCACTGTTGCTCCCTTCCGGTCACAAGGCTGTTACATGGTTAATTATAACTGACCTCTGAAGTTGTGTGTTACTCTGTAGTTGGTGTCGTGCCCATACTAGCAACTCCAGGTCTAAGCTGGATTTCCCTATGGAAAAAATGAATGGTATTTTTAAAAATTGCCACTATCATTTCCTGTGATTAATAAAAGGGTTCGAAAATAACTATGATTTATCCTGTGAACATATTCCCACTAAATGTCACTGGATTCTCTGAATTACAAGGTTGTTAATAAGCTAAAATAAGAAATTTGCTAATGCGAGCTAATACTGCTGCACACTGAATTGACATGGGCACGATGCAGACCACAGAATGACACATGACTTCAGAGTCTATGGGCAAGTCCACTGATTTTTCAAGGTTTTTGCATATGCCAATCATTGAGATGTAAACAAAGTCATTCAAAGTGGTTTGGTGTGAAATGGTGGATTATAGGGACTCAGATTTCTTTACAGTGGTGGTGACAGGAATCAGGTGTCACCATAAATACAACACAAATATGGTCATTTTATTTATTGTCCAAAACCACCAGTGAACCTACATTTTATATGTGATGTTGATAATAGTAAAATAGTGGTACATCTGAAAAAAATATATTTTCTCTGGGGAGTGATTTGCCTTACAATGCTCCATAAACAGATTTTAATAAATTAACAGATCTGATCCCAAAACTATCTTAAAACAATATCTAATAACTATTAGTGGACCAGGTGGACGTCTGGTACCTATCACCATCACTGTGAACATATCTGACTTAATAAGTTTCTTGATGATGAAGCATTTCACACCAAGTCACTCGGAATGGCTTTGTTTACATCTCAACCATTAAATCATGCAGAAATTTTGAAAAAGAAAAATCGATGGAACTCCCCTTTAGTAAGTTCATTAGGTGTCCTTATTACCATGTGGCTACCCTTAACAAAACATTACTTACTGTTGTGGTTCAAGTAATAACAGCATATTTAGTTTATTGCTTGTTGCTCATTGGTAATTTCTATCTGTCCATCTTCCTAATGAAAGATTTTTATGTTGGTGGAAAACCACATTAACTATTCAGCTTCTGATGAGCCTCGGACTGTGTTGGCCAGCTCTATCACAATAAAAGCTTTACTTAAAAGTGTTGAGAGGAGCTCAACTATAACAGAATAATGTGCAAATACTTTCCCAAGAACAGGAAAGATGAAAAAGGTAGATTAAGGGAGGAACCATCACCCATTCCAAAGAAGCCTGCAGTCAGCAGGGCCCAAGCACTGACGGGCAGAAAGGTTAAATATTAACAGTCAGTTTGCCATTTGGTGTGGTTGGGTCAGTGGGAGGGAGATTTGGGAGCTACCCAGCAAACACCTGAGGCTGTAGAGGAGGGGGCAGCCCCTCGCTGTCGACGTTGTCCGAATCAATGGCGGACGATGTCGTGGGACGCGTTTCCAAATGAAGTCCTTCCAGGACGTCCTGCACTGAGTGCTCCACACCGTCCTTCCACTCAATGAGGTCATTCTCCAGCCTGTGTGCCCCCTCTAGAACTCGCTCCTGTCGCGTCTCCAGTCCTGTCAGAAGGTCCAGCGGTTTATAAGTCTTTGCCACGGCAGTGCTGTGGCCACTCGCCGGTTCTCCTCTGGGGGCGCTGTGTGATGAAGAGGAGGAAAAGCTGGACGAAGGGTCTCCAGGGTCCCGCACCTTATTAGGAGATGGCTGGCCAGACATATAGAGCTCAAAGTCCTCTGGACTTAGGTTCAGAGACTGGGCATCCAACTTCTCTATGAAGGCTACCGCACAGCACTGAGAAACAAAGAGAAATCAGAGAAAGTCATGTAGAAATGCAATGTTTAGGCCACTTGGGGGGCCTTTAAAGGTGAATTTTAAAGGTGGATTCCATCAGTTTTTCACAATTTCTGCATAATTCACCCACTGAGATGTAAATTAAGTCATTCAGTGGTCTGAGATTTCCAACTTTCCCTTTGGTACTGAAAATATCAAAAATGTACGCTTATTAAAATATTGTATCAAAGTTGGGAATTCCAGTATTGTGAAAATAACTGTTGTCATGAGTTGTAAAAGTACAAAAAACAACGTTTAAGTTGAAGACAGACCAGGTTGGTGAAGTAGTACCCATCCTCTCCGCTCATGAGACGGCTAGGGTTGCAGAAGCGGGTGATGTACTGTATGTTGGACTGTAGGCGGGGCGGGTTGGCCTTCAATACAACATAGATGAGCGCTGGCAGGAAGTCGTCAGCAGAGGCAGCCTCACGCTTGCTCCGTTTGATAGCGCTGAAGATGTGCTTGCTGCACCTGGTGACATAGCCCAGCTTGTCCTTGGGGACTCGCTTTGAGTCCATCTCAATGATGTCTGCAACAAGAAACAAAAAATATGACAATAACAAAAGCAACCAAAAAAAATTATTGAATGTGCGCATGACTCCAATGATAAAGTACAGTTTGAAGTATTAAATGTAATTGCAAATCAACAGCAAAAAGCAATAAGGCGACAGAGCTCATGAGTAAAACCATGAAAACAAACGCTCTGAGTAGCAACCAAACACAGTAGTTATTGTCGACCTTGGGAAGCCACTGACACACACCTAGATATGCCAGCGCACACATCTCAAGAGTGTTGTTGGAACAACAGTGGAAACTATTAGCTGCTTCAGAGTCCTATTTCAGCTTTCTGACACCCTGTCCTAAAAACCAAAACATCTTGAAAGAAGACAGTGCCTCTGGAGATGCCTATGAACATTGAGCATCATCGGAACTGGGAAACCATTCTGCGAAACCAGAAACAATAACTTGGTTGAACCAGCCAAGACAATGACTAACATGGGAATATACAAGAAAGGTATCATGACGTATGTGTCCCGAATGTGAACAACTTCACCTCAAAGATATTTATAGAAGGCTAGACTAGTTCAGTCCAGGCCTGGGCAATATCCTAAAATAAATCCTAAAATTAATCTCTTTCTTGTTAAAAAATCTGAATCATCCCACATAGCTGTCCTATCCCAGGGGGTTGTTAAGGTGCTGCTAGACCGTTACTAAGGTATCCCAGGTGGTTGCTAAGGTGCTGCTAGGCTGTTACTAAGCTATCCCAGGTGGTTGCTATGGTGTTGCTAGGTTGTTACTATGACATCCCAGGTGTAACGGAATGGCTCATGGAATGACTCAGTTTACAGATATTGCACATTCCCCCCACTCATTCCTATGGAAAATAAAATCATGAACGAGTGCTGTATGAACACCATCAGTCAAGCAACTTATTCAGGAAAAATCTTCAAGATTTCATGGTTGTAACTTGAAAGCTGTAGGAAAAGCAGTGTTGCAAATTTGTGACCACAGAATTATAAGAACAAGAGATCCAACTCAAGCCAACTTAATTAAAACCTCTTTCACTTTACTGTTTTATGGCACACTAATTACCAGACACCAAGAAAAATTGTATTAAATTATTTTATTAAAACACCATCGCCATCTTTGCTGCATTGTGCATAATAAAACACACTTTAGTTGAAAAAGAACAAAGTTGCCTTACCAGTTATGGCCTTATCTAGACTGTCTGACACTGCAGGGATCTCTTCATTCAGCGGGACACACAGCATCTGAACGGTGACCCAGTGTAAAGCCCTGACCACACACATGCACACACTCTTTCACTGAAAATACAGCCTACATGGTTTTCAGCAATGAAGAAAAAAAAACATTTACTAACCTCAATAATTTAACAATATTATAATCTCGTCAAAGATGAGGAGCGTGAATGCTAAGCTGAATCATTCAGGATCTTCATGAAGGTAAGCCTGTCACATTAGTGTGTACCTGTAGACTGCTGACCCATGGTGGCCTACCTGATTCTGTTCTGGATTGCCAGGTCCTTGACCTCATCATCTGCGGACTCAGGGCAGAAGGCCTGCTCATACAAATGAAGCATTAGGTACTTCTCTACTTTATCCATTATAGCCTCCACTCGATCTGGGGTCCCTGGTCAGCACACACATAAAAACACAATGTTAATGTCCCTTGGAGCCACTTGCATTTGTAAAACCTTGTACATGAAATACCATAAAATAACAAATCTGTTATTTAACACAATTTAGCAATCATTCTGATTAATCTGGTTTAGCTCTAGCATAGTAGGAGTGAACCGTATTGACCTTTAACTTCAAAGTGCATCAACAAGGGGTCTGACTGTTACGTACCTTTGTAAAGTGTGTTTAAGCGATCAGACAGGTTCTGGTAAAAGTCTTGCACTGATTCTGAAAGCTCCTCAGCACTAAGATCCTGAAAGAAATAGCAGAGCAACTCAGGTCAACCGTTATTACTCAGCATCACAAACTAGTAAGCTGATAGCAGGGCTGTCAAACTCAGGTCCTAGAGGGCCACAGGCTTGCCAGGCTGCTGAAGAAGAAGCCAGCTTAATCCTTGTAGAAATTTAGACATGAAACCACATTTGACACTGTTTTAGCCTGGACTAGTGCATCCCCTCTCTGGCGGCTGACGTCCTCCTCCCGCCATCACTCGCGTCCCTCGGCGGTGTTCAGGGTTCGGGCCCTGCCTTCCTGCTGGCTCTCACAGCTGTCATTGTGCCCAGGAGACGGGCGCATGCCATGTGTTACCAGCGTTTAAAAAATTTGTGACATTAATAATAATCATGATAATAATAATAATAATAATGATCTATCCGGTAATTTATCGTGTAAATAACTGTAACTTTGACAACCTGAACTTTTATATAACGTTTTTTAATCGAGAACATACCCACAAAAAATACTCAATGCATTTTTACTGTGTACTCAGTTAGGAGCCTGTCTCTTGAAAGAGGTTTTCTGCTAACTGGGACCATAATTGTGCATCAACATAAAAAGTTGCAAACGAAAGTACCTTTTTGTAGAGTACATGTTGACAGAAGGCATGACACTGTTTAAAGATCTCTCGTCCAGGCTTCTGCAGGGTCTTCAGAAAGTCGATGAACTGTCTTGTGGCTTGGTCCGACTCAAGAGGCTGCTGGCTAAGAGAGGCGGCGGGGGCCGACTGTGTCTCTGGAATTGTGGCATCTGGGGGAAGAAGATCCAATTCATCCTATACTGCTTTGACCCTCTAGTTACTCCATACTGCCCTTTTCCTTTCGGTTGAAAAACTGTGCAAATGTTTTTGTCACAAGGCCCTGATCTGTATACTTTAATTTGCGCTTTTTTCTGGGAGGGCTCAGTGAGTCTGGATGTCCTCTAATCTATATAATACAGCACCTAAACCAAAAAAACTGCTATACTGCACAAAGCAAATGTGCCAACATGTTACTAAATGTTCGACAGGCTGACATCAGCTATAGTGATTTGCTTATATTACTTGTTGCCCTTCAATAAAAACTGTGGTTCAAATATTAAAATGCAAATACGCTGGCCGTGGTGCAAATACATGAAATGGGCCATTCTCACAAAACAGGCTCAAACCATATCCATAAATATTTAAGCGTTTAATCATCACACAGATAAACAATACATATGTACTTCTGGAGGTAAACCAGAGGTCTGTTGGGGAAAAATTACCTATTCATACATATTAAAATATCAGAAAATATTTCTTTATTAATTTTAAGTATATTTTATAGTCTTAGCCTAATTCTCATTACTTAATTACAATGTGTCCACATGTCTGTTTCTCATTACTGATACATTCATGTGCAAAATTTTGGGCATCCTTGCTTAATTTACATGTTTTGTTGATTTTTAAAAGTGAAAATAAGTGAAAATACCCTCTACAGACAACACACTTCTGCTCATTTTAATGCACAATTACTGTTTATTTGCTAAATTTAACATACTAGTAACAGATAATAAATTGAAATTAAATTAAATTAAATCTTTAAATTTTCCTCATAAACTCAAAAAAAAGCAAAACAGCAAAATGTGGCACAAAAAAAAGAAAACCTTAATATCTGTCAATGAGTTGCAGTAAAGAGATTTATTTGCAAAAGACTATGATGTGCATTGTAAGAATATACAAATTATAAAAAGAGAAATATTTGCAGATAAAATATTACTGTGTTGCAGTAATGATAATGTGTTCATTTAATTTGGAAAATGTAACAAAAATAAATTTGAAGTCAAAGATATCATTCAGTTTTACTTTCAATTATATAAACAAACATCATTTTTGTTTAGTCATTTGAATTTTTTTACTCTGGGTGCCAATATTTGTTATATTCGTGCGAATAATCCGAATGTGAGATAAGCAAGCATGAGACAATAAGCATTGTGACACATTAATAATTCTGAACGCTACAAGTACTTTGTGAATGAAGACATATGACCCAGCACTATCTAGAATGGCCCTAGTAGTGTCAGCATATCCCACCACCCCACATGAGTAAGTTTTGTAAGTTCCTTTTTCCCAGAAGCATGCATTGTCCCAAAAAAACACATAAAAACAAAAAACACAGGAAACAAAAGGGTGTGTTCAGATCAGCACTGCAACAAAAGGTCATAATGCTGACAAAACAGGGTCATGAACTTCAGTTTGCACCCACCATTTCCCTCAGTGCTCTTGCGGAATAGAAACTGAAAGCAATGTGACTTTCCAATAACAGTCCTACAAAAACATTATCTTATTAAACAATTCTCTCTACATCGATCAGGTATAACATTATGACCACCTCCTTGTTGTTGTAGTCCATCTGTTTCTCTGCATACTTTGTTAGCCCCCTTTTACCCTGTTCTTTAGTGGTCAGGACACCCATGGACCCTCACAGAGCAGGTACTATTTGGGTGGTGGATCATTCTCAGCACTTCAGTAACACTGACGTGGTGGTGGTGTGTTAGCGTGTGTTGCACTGGTACAAGTGGATCAGACACAGCAGTGCTGCTGGAGTTTTTAAACACCTTAGTGTCACTGCTGGACTGAGAATAGTCCACCAACCAAAAATATCCAGCCAACAGCGTCCTGTGGGCAGCGTCCTGTGGGCAGCGTCCTGTGACCACTGATGAAGGACTAGAGGATGACCAACACAAACTGTGCAGCAGCAGATGAGCTATCGTCTCTGACTTTACATCTACAAGGTGGACCGACAAGGCGGGAGTGTCTAATAGTGTGGACAGTGTTTAAAAACTCCAGCAGCACTGCTGTGTCTGATCCACTCAGACCAGCACAACACACACTAACACACCACCACCACATCAGTGTTACTGAAGTGCTGAGAATGATCCACCACCCAAATAGTACCTGCTCTGTGAGGGTCCATGGGGGTCCTGACCACTGAAGAACAGGGTAAAAAGGGGCTAACAAAGTATGCAGAGAAATAGATGGACTACAGTCTGTAACTGTAGAACTACAAAGTGCACCTATATAGTAAGCGGAGCTGATAAAATGGACAATGAGCATAGAAACAAGGAGGTGGTCATAATGTTATGCCTGATCGGTGTAATTTTTTAAATTAACCCTGCTATCAAATATAAATGCTTAAACAATATAGTTTATTTATGGTATGGTTTAAAACCAATGGCACTATGCACCTACCTTTCCCCAGGCTTGTCTTTGAAGATGAAGTGAAAAATTTCTTCACTGTAGGGACGGTGTGTGATTTCTGACCAGTTCTCTTCTCAATTTTGCTGAACTGGGCAGTGGAGGTCTCTGAGTGTGACCCCTGGTGACTACTCGCATAGGCAGCGTCTTCCTCTCTCTGCAGCCTGGGTGATCATCAAGAGAGCATTTTGCACTATAATACACCAAATAAAGTCTGGCTGATACAAACATTCAGTTGAAAAAGTGATCAAATATTCTGATATTCGGTGCCTTCATCTGATGCAGTTATATTTACAATGGCTCTGGACAGTCCAGGCTTGTGGTGTGGCCCTAATTAGGCCTATCACAATTATTCCATCCACTGACCACAATTATTTTCCAGCAGTGACACTGAGGTGTTTAAAAGCTCCAGCAGCACTGCTGTGTCTGATCCACTCAGACCAGCACAACACACACTAACACACCACCACCACATCAGTGTTACTGCAGTGCTGAGAATGATCCAACACCCAAATAGTACCTGCTCTGTGAGGGTCCATGGGGGTCCTGACCACTGAAGAACAGGGTAAAAGGGGGCTAACAAAGTATGCAGAGAAACAGATGGACTACAGTTTGTAACTGTAGAACTACAAAGTGCACCTATATAGTAAGTGGAGCTGATAAAATGGACAATGAGCGTAAAAACAAGGAGTCATAATGTTATGCCTGATCGGTGTATAATACTACACCTTGCTACACTGTATATTCACAGTGCAATCTATCTCGTTCTGTTTCGTGCCACTTTTTTATTTGTTGTTATTTGTTGTCTGGCGTGCTTGTGCAATACATCCCCCTGTGTATTTCTATTCCTCTATATATTTTTATACGTAGAAGCTGCTGTAGTCTAAGAATTTTATTGCATTGTTAAATGCCCTGTATTCTGAAAACTAATGACAAATTAATCCTGAAAACGTTTTATCATCAGGGGTAACAACAGGCAACCAACGTCCTCTACAGCCTTTTCTCAGTGCTGATCTTTAACTCACCTCTCTGCCAGTGCCCGGTCCTCTTCAATCTGTCTGGCCCGTGCATGCTGGTTCTCTTCCCGCCAGCACTTGGAACAGAGGCCATTCCAGGCCGGATTTCCAAAGAAACTGCAGCCTTTCTTACATTGCAAGTCTGACGGATCCACATGGATGCCCCTATGCTCTGAGCGAGAACTCATTCTTCCCTGCTGGTCAGGCACACCTGCAAAGGGCAAAAGCAACTTACATTGTGGGCAGTAGAAATTTGTGACAATACATAATGAGGTAGAAATATCAAGCTGGAAAATAATATGACCAAGTAAGAACAATTCTGTACTGTACTGTAGTGAGTCAGGCAGCACAATGATGTCAGATTCATATCTGTACCACACAGATGCTAAGATTTGACCCATATTTCATACCAATATTTGATGCTGTATTTATTGTATTCCAGAAGAGCAGAAAGTTTAGGTGCCAATGGTTTACTGTGCTAAAATATGCATTTTTTTCAATATTACTCATTTATTGCATATAACCCTTAAGGGAAATAAAGATTATATTTCCCAGAAATGTGAATCTTGGTAGATGCAGCCCCAATTTCTACATGCTATACGTTTAAGTATGGACATCCGCAGATATGTACACAAACATTTATTGGATATCGGCATCGGCCCACAATTCCCACACTGGTAACATCTCTGCAATCTATTTTTACTCATCATCACTAATCAGCAAGAACTGAAGGGGAATTTCACTCACTTTTCAAATTTTCTGTATAATTAAATGGCTAAGATGTAAACAGGAGTCATTCAGAGTGGTTTGGTGTGAAATGCTCAGTTCTTACAGACACAGAATTGTTCACAGTGGTGCTGATGGGAACCAGACATCTGACAATTTTAATGCCTCTAAAAGCTCGCACAAAGTTATTACATGAAATGGTTCTGAATACGAAGCCTGATGTCTGAGACACTGTTTTGCGATAGTTTTGTGAAAAGTTTTAGCTTAAAATGTATTTGAATCCGTTTATTTTAATCCATTCATAGTAGAGAGGTACATGCCAGGCGTTATAAGTTAAAATAGTCCCCAAAGCAAACCTTTATTCAGATTTTACCATTACTAACATTCCATATAAAAACGCAGAAGACGTGTAGCTTCACTGGTGGTTCGGGATGGTACATAAAACGGCTATATTTGTGTTGGTTCCTATCACCACCACTGGAAAGAGATCAGAGTTTCAGCTAAGTTTTCAAACCACTCCAATACTATCAAACCACTCTGTTTCCATCTCAAGGACTGAATTATTCTAAAAAATGGTGGAATTCCCCTTTAAAGCTTATGATGAGGTTAAGAGGGCATTGCAAACTAGACGTGGCAAGATGAAATAATAATAATGACGATAATAATCTATAATTGAACATATTACTCTACTGACAAGCATCACACTGCGACTGACCGTTGACAGCCAAAACAAACCCACAGCTAGCGTCGGCTACCACAGCTACATCCAAGGATAAGTAAGGACAAATTTACACATTTGTTTAAAAATTCAAATGTCATCCAGCTAGAGAGGGTAGAGACTTAGAGAAAATCATCTTTAGTTGAGCAGCCGGGTTTTATCACACGGCAGCTCAGAAAGCTGCTCACATAGACACAACTTTAACTTACTGATGTAAGAAGCGAACATTAGCCAGCTAAGCTAACGTTAGCTCACTGATGTAGTTACTGAACTAGGTTAGCTAATTGACAGCGAAGGCCAGCGAGCAAACGACGGAGGTTTCTCTCATATTTACCGAGAAGAACACCGCTAACACGGTCAGTCCGTCCTGCCCGGATTCATACACTTAAAATAATCGTCCGAATATCCGAAACTGGCGATTAGAAAGTCAACACACTCGTTAGCTGTTCGTTTCAGTTTCCTAGGCGTAAACTCGGTGTAAGCTGTCAAAATAAAAGTCTCCATTGTAGCCGTTATGAACGGAGCCCCGCTGGTGACATCCTGTATAAATAAAAATAATGCGCGGCCACGACATAGTAAAGTGTGGAAACGAGATCCTAATGCGTGGCCCCGACTTAGTAAGCCATAATCTCGTTCCCACGCCTTACTAAGTCATGGCCACGACTTAATCATGTCATTCCCACGCCTTACTAAGTCGTGGCCACGCATTAGGATCTCGTTCCCACGCATTAATAAGGCATGGCCATGCATTATTTTTATTTATACAGGATGTCATCATCAGGGCTCCGTAGTTATGCAGTGTAAGGCGGCAAATTATACGTTACTACGTCACGATACTTCAGGTCATTTTCACAGCAGCGAGATGTTTCGCTTTCCTGTGGTTTGATAAATCAGAACACACATAAACAGCCGCGTGCCACATTTAAAAAATACTACAAAGAACAAAAAAACAGTGATTTTTAGTGTTTTAAATTCTGTGCTGCGCTGAATCCAAATAAATAGGCCTATAAAATACGCTCTTACTGTAATGAAACATGCAGTCAGTCAGAGCTCTTTAAGTACTGACAATACCTACAATATGCCCAGTAAAGTATATAGTAATCAGACATAATTTATCACAATAACAATAAATATTGTCACTTTGTCCACCTCTATGACAGGGTTGTTCAAATCTAAATTAAAGAACCTCTCTTTAGCAATTTTATTTTATTTTAATTACATTTTTTTCCTCTATGTGTGAGTTTACTACTAAAAACATTTACATGACCATCTTCCAACCTCTCTTCACCCTTAGAATTAAACTGGCTGTTTTCATTGCTACACTTTTAAGGCAAGTATATGTAAATTTATCTCTGTTCTGATTGGCTGCCCTGTACTGAGCCTCATTGAAAAGGCAGTGTAGGTGAAAACATTCTATATAACTAAGCTGCTAAGCTGCCACAGACTGTATAGGTGCATAAATGTAAATATGTGTTTATATGCACACTAAAACCAACTTATATACACACACATATATATATGTATGTGTGTGTGTGTTTGTGTATGTTGTTTTTAGTGACATCACAGTTTTCACAGTTTACTTTCCAGATATGGATTTTGGACTTGGAGTAAATGGTATGTTTTGAAACGTAATACTACATCAAAGTCGTATTTTAAAAATACAAAGTCACTTTTATGTGATATGGGCTCATTAATTGTTTATAGATCCAAAAAAATAATGTAGAGCATTTTATAAAAGTATATTCCTTCATGGATTGGTACCTTTTGGTGATCCAGTTTACATCAGCTTACTGTAGTCTGTACATGTAGGAAAAGTAGGCCTGCTTTATAGACACATCATGGTATTTTTAGGTAGAGATTAGACGCAGAGATCACTTTGGCTGACACAGTAAAACAGTTTTATTTTTTGAAATAGCCCAGCAAAGTTCAAGTATACACTGTTATTTTAATAATTTATACAATGATTATGACCGTTACATCAATAAAAAGAGTAAAAGATTAACATATTTGCCAATTCAACAATGAAATTGAAAAAAAAATTCATAATATTCTGAGCAACTCCATAGAAAACAAGTCCTGTTTTATCTAATGGATAATGAAAACTGACTTATCGCTGCCATCTGCAGGCCAAATCCCGTCTGTGCAGCAGCATTTTATGGAACAATAAATTTGAATGACATGTCTTGATTGACTCCTCTTCCACTGAGGAATTCCCACCACCCCACAATCTTACTCTGCAACAACCTTAGGTCAGTCCGGATCACACTGGTTTTCTCTAAGCCCGAATACAAAACACTACATAATCCTGACTCACTGAAATTGATATAATGCTGTCATAACAAACCCTTGACTCTCCGAAATGGCAAATTCATAGGAGGGGGCAGAATGTTGTTACCTTTACTGTACGTTAATGCAATAAGGTTTTATTTAAAGTAGTTTTGGAATGTTTATGTTGGTCCATTTATTGTCTAATGATACAAAATCAAAGGTAATTAGAATTTTTAAGATAAAACAAAAACAAAAAAAGTGGAAAAATAAAGCCCTTTTGAGGTCTTGATATGAAGGTGACAATATGTTTGCGAACGTACATGAACCAAAATGAACAAAAAAAACCTAATACAAACCAAATAATTTTGTGTATATACTGTCAAATGTTGAAATAAAACTGCTCAAATTTAAACATTTCAGTAAAATATGTACTTACATGATATTCAGAGTTCTTTATTAAACTTTAGCAATACTTTAGCCTCAAAATTCTCATCAGTGACCCTGGCTCTGTTTGGGGTGAGAATCAGGCCTGCACAGCTGAATAATCTCTCCCCTGCTGCAGAGCTGGGCAGTGTGGTATTGGTCCTCGGGAAGACTGTCTTGACTGGTGGGATGTTCTCCAGTGAGGTCAAGGTTGACAAGGGCTCACTGAGGTAAGCAGAAACCTCTGGGGCCTCTTCTTGGTGTTCAAAGATGACAACATCTTCATCTTTCGACTGCTCACTGGCTGCAGATGTGGTGGGCTTCATCTTTTCCAATTTCTGCCAGGAAAACACTCCTGGCTGTCTTGCAGAGCTCTACATCCTTGGGCCAGGATAACTTGCATCTGGCATCTGACACTGCAGCCAGCAGGCACTCTCTGTCCCCATATGAGGGCCGGAACCTATTGGTGACCCCCTGCAAAACAGCATCTGCCAGGGGTTTGCAGAGCCACTTTCCACCCTGTCCTGCTGCATTTCCAGCCTGGCCTTCAGGGTCTCCAGTTGTGGCATCAGGCTACCCAAGCCAACACACTTCTTCCCCTGGAGGAAATCCAGGCTCCTGGCCAGTGGCTCCATCACCTGTACAAATTCTGTCATGAAGGTCTGGTCACGGACAGTGAATCTGGGGAGTCCAAGTACATCACATATTTTGTCCAGCGATTCAACAGGCAACTCTTTCAGACACTTCACTGCATCATACGTTGAGGTCCAGCATGTAGCATTGGGCATTACCAGCTGCTTGCCTGTGGTACGCTTGATGTTCTCTGCAGCCATAACAGTCCTGGCTTGTTTGCTCCAGACAGCCAAGGCCTTGGCAAACATGAACCGGCTGGCGTTTTTTGAAGCTAGGGTCTGCCATTGTCTGTCACCACGTGTTGCACCTTGTTGTGAATGCGATACTCACACAGTATTGCATCCAGCTGTGTGGCAATGGCATCATAGGTGTGAGGTCCTTTCATGCGCCGACATGCCAAGGCAATGGACTTACTGTCAACGTTGTCAGTAATGGCAAGTCACCCCCAGGAATGATCTGTGGTGCGCAGTCCAGCAGTCTGCTGTCACACAGACATATGCCACGCCTTCGAGTTCAGTAATAATGCAACCCTTCAGCTGCTTCAGCTTTGACTCCAACCTCTCATTGGCAGTCCTTCTGCTCATTAGCTGAACATTTGACAGCCCAGTCAAAGTGGCCACGAGGTGCTGGAAATTGCTACTGTTCAGCAGATGGAAGGGCAGATTCTCTGCAAGCAAGAGATCAAGCACGGCCATGTCTACCTGCTCCCTCGACAGCCTGAACGAAGCAAGCTTTATCGCCTTCATGATTGTTGGTTGCTCTAGACTGGCATCCCTCTTCCTCTTATTGCCTTTGCAGGTGTCTGTCAGTTTTTTTCCAGGAGGGGGTACTTCCTTTGAAAGTGCAGTTTCAATGAATACACTTTTCCCAAACAGCACTCCGTACGCATCCAAAAAATGTTCAGCCATTTTTGTACACATTTTCTCTTCTCGCTTTCCAGCAAAAGACTGAGCGGAATGAGTGCACATGCACAGTACTATTACGTACTATATACACACACACATATATATACATATATATATATATACATATATATATATACATAGCCGAGCCACGTCAGTGCTCTGAGGCGCTCGCCAAGATGCTGAAAGACAGGCCTAAACTATAGCATGCATTTGGTGCCAAAACGCCTAATGACCAATCGTCTGCACACGTAAAAATTCAAGTGTTGACAGCTAAAGATCTTTTTTTTACGTGTACAGAAGTATTGCCGCTTGAAGACCATGAATACTGACGTCTACAGGCGGGCAAATTTGACGTTTCTTACTCGAGTCCTCTTTAAAAAGCTGAAGTAGCAATGTGTTGCCTATAGATGGCGATATTTTCTGATAGGAGCAAGTCTTGCGAGCCTTCGTGCACAACCTAGGAAAGTGTGATTGAAGTTTACATGATTCTAAGTGGATAATAAGTAGAATCACATATCAAAGATTCTGCACTGTACATATTTTTTTTTACCAGTTTTCTCTGTTTTTGAAGAAAAATCACTATTTATTTTTTTTTCAAACTCATGGAAATTAAAAGTTGGACTTTTACTTGTGGTGGAATTCATTCCTTCTACAGAGTGTCTCTAGACCAAACTGCATGTTGGTCAATGATAATGCTGAAGTAAAATTCTGTAGCCTTTTACTCACACTTAGTAACCAAATACGCTGGCAAACAGTATTTGCATTTTGTGTATTTGAGCCAAAACACACTACAAAACCATCATGAACCAACAGAAACACTTAATGGGTTCTAGGGTTTTGTAAGCAGGGACATTAAAATTACAAAAATGGAGATACAAGGCTGTGCTCTCACTGTGACAGTGCTATAAAGATATACATGAAACGAACGGGAGACTCTAAAATGGGGAGGCAAGTCTAATTTGTATGTCACTTCATTTATCCTTTCCAGTACTTTAAAGGGGCCAATATTCTTCAGCTGGAGCTTTCAACTTCCCTCCATGCCTCTGAAGTCTCTCATTGAGAGTAAAACACGATCTCCTGGCTGGTAGACGGGTGTTTCGCCTCAATGTCAGTCTGCTTGTTCTTTGTTGCGCTGGGTAGCTACCTTGATTCTTTGGTGTGTCTCATCCCGAACTCTCTCACTCCGCTGCATCCAGCATCAACAGCAGAAACCTCTGAAGTCCTGATAGCCTTTTATGCATTGAAAAGGGGTTATGTCAGTAGCTGAACTGATTAAGGAATTTTGAGACAAAAAGTATGAATCATACACCTCATGAAAAATGATCTACAACTGTAAGGATAGTGGTAAAACCTTGGCATTCAGGCAGATCAGTAACGAAATCCAGGGCTATGTGTTACCATGGTCTAGCAAGTACAGGCAGGGGTACAAGTTTGCCAGCAGGCAGAGTCTGAGAACAGGTGGAACAGGATGCTACAGTGTATGAACGTGTTTGGTCAAAGTTTCCCATCAGTATAGATGGAACAATAACTATTGGGTGTGCGTTTCACCCAGGGGCCCGTAGTGAGGGAAGAACAAGTCCAGATTATTAGACGGTCGCAGAACTGGCTGGGGACATAAATCTTCTCAGAAGGGCACTGACTGTGTACTTGGGTATGGATGATACTGTGACATTGGGGGGAAGAATAGGTTCATGGTCAGACTGATTGGTTTTCAGCTACATTCTCTTGACACATTCTAGACAGGCATCAGCCATAGTATTTCGGGACCCAGGGCAGTCGGTAATGCTAAAATTAAATCTGGAAAAGAAGAGAGACCAATGAGCTTGGCGAGCATTTAGCCGTTTAGCGTTATGAAGATCCTATGAAGGTTTTTGTGATCAGTTAACACAACAAAAGAGTGATTAGCTCCCTCTAACCATTGTCTCTACTACGCTTCTTTAAGGGCTTGGAAGGCATTTTCTGTCTGTTCTGTCCAGTGAATCTTTTTGGGATTCCCCTTCAGTAGGGCAGTTAATGGAGCGGCTATACTGCTAAAGCCTCTAATAAAGCACCGATAAAAGTTGGTAAAGGCTATTTGGCAGAGGAAGAAGTGGGCCACAGCATTAACCTTTGTGTCATTCATAACTACTCCATTAAATCTAATGATGTAGCCTAGGAACGATACTGTTTGTAAGTGAAATTCACATTTCTCACCTTTCATGAACAGATTATTTTCGAGCAACCATTGTAGGACCAATTGTACATGTTTGATGTGCGTGTCAAGATCAGGAGAGAACACAAGTATATCATCAATGTACGCTATAATGAATTTGCCAATCATGTCCCTCAGAACGTCGTTAATGAATGCTTAAAAGACCGGGGGAGCTTTAGAGAGCCCGAAAGGCATTATGTAGTACTCGTGGTGTGCTCACAAAGGCTGTCTTATACTCAAGTCCTTCTTTAATTCTAATTAGATTGTATGCGCTTCATGAGTCAAATTTAGTTAAACTTCTTTATTGAACATGTCTTTGAGGTCTGCGTATTCAGGAGGAATGTCACTAAAGGTTTCTGCATCAGGGCTTTCAATGGAAGTGGATCTAACAGTTCACTTCCATTGAAACGGGGGGGGTGATAAGGCAGGTTTGGTGACAGTACTCGGACCATTTTAATATCTCATGTTCTGACCATTAAATAGTGGGGTTGTGCTTTTCTAGCCAGGGCAGACCTAACTATAATTACCATAATGACGTTACATATTTTTTGCCTTGACTTATGAGGGTTTTTTCTAACACCGTTTTAAAACCCCAGATGCTGCAGACATGATCTCCACCGCTTCCTCTTATTACTTTTGGGCGTTAATGTTGATGAAAGCTCATCAGATAAAATATTACAGTGATGGTGGTGAATAATGAGGAGACTGAACGTATTGCTGTTTATTAGCAGGAATAACGTTAGCACTCGGCTAAAGTGTTTGGGAAATTGAGACTGGAACTGTGGAGCGGCGATGCTCTGATAAACAGCACGAGGTACTGTCGCAGTATTTTTCACTTCAAATGTATCTCACTTTAGTTTTGTTTGACCTTTTTAGCTACATCAGTAACGGTAGCTAACGTTAGCTGTCTGGCTAACTAACTTGATTATTCGGATTGCGTGTTCATGTTTCAGCTGTGCCCGTTTGGACGGCTGCTAGGTAACAGACATGACAGTTGATTGTCGACTTTGATCGAGCCAGTTAAGATTTCCTAAACTGAGAAAAGATAAGCTGTAAGATAAGATTCCTAAATTAAGATCAGATTTGCTTCTGTAATACGAATTTGTGAAAAATCTTATCTTGACCTTTCAGATCTTAAGTTAAATAAAAAAGATAGGAAGTTTCTGTATTACAGTCCCTTTCACAGTATACTTAATTAGCTTGCCCCAGGTCAGGGGGCTTCGTTCCCCTAGAAGTGGGTCAAATTTATCCTGTACATGCTGACAGGTACAGTTTAGCTTTAAAGTAAATGGACACTGTGTGTATTTCTCCCCATTTCTTATTGTGTTTTTGTCTTATAGGGGTCTGAAAAGGTACATTAAGTGTATCTTGTATGTGCTCTGTCTGTGTTTGGTGCCGTACTTGCTCAGTGCACAGTTGCAGTAACTTGCCTTTTCTGTCATTTCCTCTGATTAATAAGCAGTTGTGCTGAACTCTGAATGTTGAGCACTATACATCCTGTCAGGCCAGAGGGTCTGTAGTGTCTGGAAAGTTCTCAGTCAGAATGAAAGTAAAAGTATGTGCAGCAGCGGAAACGTCTCACAGCTTTCATTCAGACATGGTAAAGATGAAAACAAGACATTTTATATCTATTATGCCTTTCAGTCCTCCAGACAAAACAAAGTATTCAAAGTCTTCTCTCAGGCAAAGGCCTGTTTTAAAGTAGCAGTTTCTCCTCAACCCAGTGACCCCATGTGGCTCCCTAACAAAGAGGAGGGCAAACTTCCACTGCATAGCTTTGAGTAAAGGGGAATTCTATCTTTTTTCTGCTTATTTTAGTGGTTGATAAAAACAAAGTCAGAGTGGTTTGGTTTAAAATGGTTGATTACAGAGATTTCTTTACAGTGGTGGTGATAGGAACCAGGGGTCGCCATGACTACAACACTAATATAACCATTATATTTACTATCCAAAACCACCAGTGAACCTACACGTGTCTTCTGAGTTTTATATGGAATGTTGATGATGGTAAAATAGTGGTAAATCTGAAAAAAAAAAATCCTTAGGGCACTTACAACAACCAGTTTCATTCCAACAGAGATATTGGAAAAGTGGTCGAATTACTTTATTTAATGATCTGATTTTCGTTGGGGACCTGGTTGTTATTTCACAGTATACTTAATTAGCTAAATCACTTAAGTAGCAAATATTAGGACCACTCTGGCAGCTCTAATAAGACCAACTTTTCTCCTGAATTCAAAAGAGATTTGAGCAAACTTAAACTTGTATTTTACTCAGAAACCAGTAAATGTTCCGTGTTTAAAGGTCATCATTATATCCATTTTCCTTTCACAGTCATCATCACTTTATTTCATTTTCACTAATCGAGAATATTAACCCTGAAATGCCATTCACATCAAACATGATGCACAACCTTTCGACCCCCCATTTCATCATAGTGGAATTAAATGACAAAAAACTGGGGTCTTTTGCTAAAATGTGTAAGATTACAGACTCAGGCTGTGTTTACACGTTTTTTGTTTTGTTTCTAAGCTTGTGAACTTTGGTCCCCAACCCCTGTCCCCCTGGCTTGTCACACCAATTGGCACCCCAGCCTACTGTATTGCATGTTGTATATTATCCAGAAATTAAAAAAAAGTTGTTTTTTTTCAATTTTAAGGTCTAATAAATGCAATTTTAAAACTGTTATTTTCATTTTTTAGATATTTATTACTATTTTATGTGCAGACTTCACAGGGTTAAGAAGCTCCATAAACAATACATTTTTAAACAAGGTGACTGTCGTCATTACTCACAGACACTGCAGATTCCTTCCTCTTCTTCTTTGAGTTAATTGTGCACTTCTTGGCTGATTCCTTTTTTCTGTTATTGTAAAGAGAAAAAAAACCCAAAAACTAACAAAAAAATAAAACAGTCACATTTGAGTGTAATTATTTTATTTGAGTAAATTTACATCTCTGGAAATGTTTTTATGCCAAAATTTCATGGAATTCTGAAAATCAGCTTCTTTGTGAGGGTGAAGCGAGGCTCTGGGGTCATCTTAGCATCACAGGTTGTTTGATTCACCTTCTCAAGCCCCTCCTTCCTGCTGACCTCTTCGTTCACTTTTGTGAGGATTGTAAGGATGTCGTCACCGCTAGGAGAAAGTGAATGACATACACATGCATTAACACCTTAATTATACAGTAATTAATCTTAAGACTTATTTTCTAACTACTGATCTTATTCAGCAAATACTACTAAGCAATAAGCCAAGACAGGCTGTGCATTACAGTGATTTTATCACAGGTAAGAGTGTTAGGGACAGCGCAAAGCAGATAAAAAACCCCCTCACCCATAATAAAATCACTGTAACACACAGCCATAAATGGCTTATTGCTTTTATAAAACAGACAACATAAAATATGATGAAATACCCAAGCAATTATTAATAAGAATCAAGATAAACAATTATTCCACCAAGAAATGTATAGTATGTTATTGTTGCCATGCAATCATAGACTGCTGAAATAGGACAATATTGTTTAGCCGTCCATCATTGTATACTACAGTCATTTCATAACATAGCAGTGTTTAATGCAAGTTACCACCTCAACAACAATGCTAATTTCCATTAGCGCTTCTACATGATTTCCAGTCTAATTTAGCACCAAGGTAGATGCTGTATATCCCTTTTCAACCATGCTGTGGCTCAATCACAAATGGTTCCCTGCTCCCTACATAGTGCACTACATCAAAATACTGACTCCTGCACCCAAACAGTGCATGGTATGTCCAATAAATGGTAATTTGGGATTTTTATGTGCTCTAGTGCACTGTTTGGGTTTAGAAGCCAGAATTTCATGACTTACACATCACACTGTATAAACAGGAGGGAACAGTTTGAGATTCAGCCCACGTTTAATGCTACTAAAAGCAGATCTGAGTAAAACACAAACATTTGAATTGCGCAAAACATTCAAATCGCATATTCCCTACCTTTTTATGGTTTTACAGAGAATCATATGTGAAGTACTTTAATTCAAACCTGGGATATTAATGGAGGAGTTCTTTAGCCTCTTAGATAGCCAATGTGGGCTGGCATGGAGCTGGGCATAATCTATTTGTTGCCTTTTAGCCTGTTAGATAAGTTGTCAGCACCTCAGATTAAACAGGACCATGTTCTTACTTAAGCAGTATACTTAGTGGTCCATGCAGACAGCATACGAGTCAAATATTATTCCATAAACAGCATGTTTTTTAGGGAATTGATGTGGTAATTCAAAATTTAGTGGTTTCAGTTAGCTACTAGAACATCGTCCAGCATGGTAGCGTAGCATTTTCAACTCCACATAATGTAGCGAATCTAAACTCCAAGCTAAATTCTTCAGGTTGAATGGAATATTTGCCAAACCACTCAACAACTGCTACAAAAGAAAACATATTGAACTGCTGTGACGGCCCACAAACAGACCTGTAGAATTAAAAGGGGTAAAAATTACAGATAACAAAAACCTATGGTGAGATGAACAGGCCAGACGAGAACTCACCTTTGACTTCCTTCTTCTAATTGAGTGCAGAGTGAGTCAATAAACCATGAGCCATTAGGAGTTCGGTAGGAGACAAAGTCCTCCACTGTGGACATGGCGACCAGGAAATCAGAGTTTTTGGGGATGCTATAAGTTTCTTCTGGAGCATCAGGTGTCAAGTCAGAGTCATCCCCCTCAGGAACATCATCCGCAGAGACCACAACCTTCTCCTCCCTGTTTTTCCCTCTGCAGGCCTGGATGAAGAACACCTTGGGCTTGCCGGCCAGAGAAGGGCAGTTTTTCCCATCAAAGGGAGACAGGATGTCCTTCATGGGACACAGTTTCATATCTGTTCCATTTACACCGTTCTTCTCGCCATGACTGAGCACACAGCAGACAAAGCAATCTCCATGTCCCTCTTTCTTGCTGAACTCTAGCAGTAGCTCCTTCATCTCCTTCGCTTTCAGGTCAGTATAAGGTTGAACATTAAAACCCAAGAGCTTAAACACTTTCTCCAAAGCAGCTGAAACAGAGATAAGAGAGCAGATTTGGTTCTTATCATATCACAACATTCATAACAAAAACATTGCCTACTGTATTTTCAGTCAATAAACCTTTGATATTATTCCAAAAACAGTATGCAATTTATGTAACGATGTAAGAGCAGCTAATTACTCACTCAGAGCTATCTGATCCTTGACGGTATGTATTATATATCACTGTTGTTGGAAGAAAACCTCATATTTCCAAAATAGTAACTTTACAGGAGAATGAAAAAACATACTTTTAATGTAAGTCAATGGAACCAGACGTAATCAAAAGTAATCTTTTGGTCCATTCTTCATGGAAATTACACACAATGTAAAGAACAACGGGCATTTTCAAATTAAGTCAAAAACTGAAAACCAACAAAAATGGAGATACAAGGTTTTCTTCCGACAGCAGCGATATATTACATTAACATATAAATGCATATGCAAATTCTAACCTGCATCATAGTTGGATCCTTTTCGGTTCAGTTCAGTTTTTTTAAAGTTCATGTTGTTGATTATTACACAGAAACCACGTGGATTACTGGTCATTGGGTATTCCTTTAAGGAAAAAAACAAAACTTCTCAATTAGTGTCATGAAATGTATAGCACAGTGACTTTTTAAAATGTGTCAAAGGTGTAATTAGCACATCATTACCTTATCACTGCCTTTATCTGAGAAAAATAGGAGGAGAAAAATAAAAGAAAGAAAAAAGAAGTGCATGTTCAATGTGATCATTTACAATCGCTATATAATTATATCAAACATTGAACTGTATAAACGTCCTATTAACAGGTATAGTATTAGCCATAATATTGATTCAAGCCATTAATATTAGTTCACTGTGAAGTCCTTTGTTAATTTAAGTCAATATTGCTTAAATCAGGGATGTCCAACTCTGGTCCAGCATACCCAGAGTCCAGCATTTGGTTTAATGATTTCCTGGTCTTGCAGGGCCAGATGTGATCTGGTAATGATATGTGAGGAAATGGTGGGCTAAATGTAGGACTTTTTAGGGTTTGAACAAACTGGGTGTGACATTTCTAAACTAATCCAAGCCCTCATGAAGGCACAGCTCATAGCAAGGGGGGTGATAATGCGCTTATCCAACAGACAGCAAGCCTATTGTTAGCCCATGTATGTAACGTAAGTTAGCATGACTGAAACGTCCCCCAAAACAATTCAAATACTCATACGGAAATCTGATACATGGTTATTTATGCACATATATCCTAAAGGGTCCAGCATATGTTATAAATGCATATATACATGCATATATGTGATGTATGAATATTTAAGTATGAAATATTGGATGTATATGCATAATATGTGGACCATACAAATATGTCTGATAGGTAGGTAAACATATGCATAATATATGGATCACATATATACTGTCTGCCAAACGCCAAAAGACTTTTTTAAAGCAAAAAAAAAAAAATCAAAATGAAATACACCAGCAACAAATAAAAACCTTATATTATATAACATGAAGCTAGCATGTATAAATAATACATGCCTTCCATATATGATTAATGTTTTCTATCATATATTGTTAAATATGTGTTACACGTTATATATGTTTATATAGTTTATATACTGAAATATATCTCCCATATTTAAAAATGGTCAATTTCAAATAAGCTGATGTATTTGTCACATATATTGTTCCCTTGGAATTATAAGGTTCTGTCTGCGTTCTGAGCAATTTTGAGATATTGAGCTTCGAAGATTTTGCATTCCAGATAGCAGAACTGATATGTGGAACACGCGTCTTTCATACATGATAATGACTGACACCGTAAATGTATTCTAAATGTACAATATCAAAATCCTCAGATTTCAAATCTCAGATTTGTAAATGAATTTTTTGGAACGGGTGAAATGCAGATAGAACCTTCTAATCTTGAGAACTCACTTTCTGCTTAGAATTATAAGGTTCTATCTGGCAAAACATGAAAGAAGTGATGAATGAATCCATATATTGCCTTATATCAGGCTTCTATATGGGTAGGCATATGGAAAGCTGATTTATGCCAATATATGGATTTCAAATAGTACACGTGTGTGGGAAACACATTACATGCAGTAAACATTAAAATTCCCTTTTAGAAGACAAAAAGTTCTATTAGCTAACAATAGTGCTTTGCAAGCTAGCTTGTTTTGCTGGTGTTAGCGATTGTACTCCAGTGTGGAGTACAGAGTGTAATCACAGGTCCCCGTCATGATCTTACTCCCCTTGGTTTCCAAAGCCGTCAGTTAACAACTCAGGGAGGAACCTCTAAATGCATACCTATGTGCCTGACTTTTTGTCCTAAATACAGGGTGATTCAAAAAGATTTATCTGATTTCAAAGCGCCATATTTTGACAACCGTGAGGTGTCTAGGAACCAATCACATACCAACTGAAAGAGGGGGTCATAGAGTTTCTGACTGTCAGTGGAAGATGGCCTCCAATCGATCGCAATTTACTTTAAAATGTGCTAACTCTCTCTGCCTGAGGCTCTTTCGGAAGTGAAATCAGGACAGGAAGAGAAACCTGGGGGTAGAGTTTAAGAGGGCATACCCTTGTTTGCAGTGGAAACTGCACAGTCCAAAACCAAAAGTTCTAGAGTTGACCAGTGGACCAGAGTTGGGCATCCCTGATTTAAGCAAAAGGATTTTACTAACAAAAATCCATTTAAGTTAAGCATACAGAGTAACTTACCTGAGACAGTCAATGACTGATGAGCAGGAGCTTCAGGTGCAGGTTTCCCACAAGCTGACCGCACGTGCTTACCCAGTTCCAGCTTATTGTAAAGATGTTCATCGTGGACTTTTAGTTTTACTATCATGATTTCACTGGCCACACGCCCTTTCTTCCTAACACTGTCGATTAGATCACGAGCTTTATCAGCTCGCGCTGCATTCGAATCCAGGATGGTTTCAGCTTCCTCTTCGTTTAATACTCTTTCCTTTCTCAGATCGTCCAGGAGTTGTTTGATCACAGGCAGCGTCAAACCATCCTTTAAGTCAGTTCGGACATCTGCGAGCACGTTGTCTGAGGAAAATTGCAAGAGCCAGAGAACAATGCTGTGAACTGTAGTTACTTTAGAGAGACCTGAGTGACCAGCTAGCTAGCTAGGCTAGCTAACTTGGCTAAAAGGCCGGCTTGCTACACGTGAAAGGTTAAAACATTATCCAAGCTAGCTGTGGCTAAAGAAAAAATCAAGAGTCATTAATTGTTGTCCGCTCACATCTCATTAAATATTTTCCCTGCATTTAAAAGTAAAGCTAACTTGCTAAATGTGCAATAATGAATACAATGTTAGCTCTTACAACAATATATGGTTTTGCTCGATGATTGATGATTTAACCTTATTACCCTTATAAAAGATGGTTCTTCAGGGTTCTTTAGTAAAGACAATGGTTCTCTATCAAACCATAAGCACTCAAAGAACCATTTGCATGCTTAATGGTTCTTTGCACATTGGAATTGATGGTGAATGTTCTGTATACGATTCCACCTTTTGAAAATGGTTCTATGTAGGACCATACAGGCCCATCTTTTGACCAAAATACAAACATACGGGCTAAAAAGCAGCTAACAACAGTCGCTAAGTAATTAGAGGGCTGAGGAAAATGGGAAAATGGAAACAAGGTTGACATCGGTACAATAGCATAACCTTTTTTGGTGCTATTCAGACCAACTGAAATACCACTTCACCATGCAAAGAACCACTTAAGCATGCAAATGGTTTTGAATGTTCATGGTTCTATATAGAACCACTGCCTTAAAATATTAAAAAAAAACAAAGAAGGGGAAAAGCAGAAGCAATGGCTGCAATTAAGCAGTTCATAGATGATAGAGATGAAGAACATAGAGAAAAGGGGAGAGGAGGGAGAGAGATGGAGAGAGTAAAGTGAGTACACATTTCAATAATCTATCACTTTTACAACCCCATTTCCAAAAAAGTTGGGACGCTGTGAAAAATGTAAATAAAAACAAAATGCAATGATGTGCAAATCATTTAAACCCTATATTTCATTGAAAATAGTACAAAGACAACAAATCAAACGCTGAAACAGATTTTTTCTTGTTTTTTTGTTGTATGTACATTTTGAATTTAATGCCAACAACACCTTCCAAAAAAGTTGGGACGGGGGCAACAAAAGGCTGGTAAAGTTGTTTAATGCGAAAAAACACCTGATGGTTAATTGGCAACAGGATCTGTATCACGACTGATCTTTGGGCCCTCAGACATCACTGCATTAAAAACAGACATGCTTCTGTAGTGGAAATCACTATATGGGCTCAGGAACACTTCTGAAAAATACTGTCTATGAAAACAGTTTGTTGCTGCATCCACAAATGCAAGTTAAAGCTCTAAAACACAAAGAAGAAACGACATATAAACAGGATCCAGAAACGCTGCCACCTTCTCTGGGCCCAAGCTCATTTAAAATAGACTGAGGGGAAGTGGAAAAGTGTCCTGTGGTCTGACGAATCAACATTTGAAATTCTTTTTGTAAATCATGGACACTGTGTCCTCTGGGCTGGAGACCACTCAGCTTGTGATCAGTGCACAGTTCAAAAGCCAACATTCATGATGGTATAGGGGAGCATTAGTGCATATGGCATGGGTGACTCGCACATCTGTGAAGGCACCATTAGTCCTGAACAATATATATACATGTTTTGGCAACATAAGCTGCCATCCAGACAACGTCTTTTTCAGGAAAGACCACATTCAGCATGTATTACAACAGCATTGCTCTGTATTAAGACAGTCCAGGTGCTAAACTGGCCTGACTGCAGTTCAGACCTGTCACTACTGATGACATTTGGCGCATTGTGAAATGAAAAATAATACGAAGGAGACCCTGAATGGATGGGCAGCTGAAATCCTATGTTAAGCAAAAATGAGAAAACATTTCACTTTCAAAACTCCAGTAGTGTCTCCTCAGTTCCCACATGCTTCAAGAGTTTGGTTAAAAGAAGAGGTGATAGGCTTCCGAATGGCACAACCGTCTAAGCATTGGCCCTGTCATCAGGAGATCGCGAGTCCGATCCCTGGTGATGCTACAGCCATCCGTAGCCGGGAGTCCAAGAGAGCACAACAGGCCTCGCTTTCTCTGGGTGGGTAGGATGGCCCCTCCTTCTCCCCATCACTCAACGCGATGCTAGTCAGCGCAGGCGTCTGTTAGCTGACGTAACAGATCTGGCGGTTGGCGCTTTCCTCCGAGCGCGTTCAGCTGTCCAATGACGTTGCATGAGCGGCAGCTCGAAAAGAAGCGGTGGCTGGTTTCACAGGTCTCGGAGGAAGCCTGTGTTAGCCTTCACCCTCCTAGCGCTGATAGCATCGTGTGATTGGGGGAGTCCTAACTAGCGGGTGGAACTGTCGACAACTAAATTGATTGGGGAGATAATTGGGTTAAAAATAAAAAAATATATTAAAAAAAAAAAAGAAGAGATGATGAAACATGGTGGTAAACATGCCCCGTCCCAACCTTTTTGGATCGTGTTGTTGGCATCAAATTCAAAATAGGCATATATTTTTCAGAAAACAATAACTGATGAAAATAAATAAAATCACCTTCACACAACATGATCCACACAGACCGCCCAACAGAGGTCTAGGCTAAACCCCCAGTGTCTTTATAAACGCCCCTGGTGCATCCCTAGCGGCCAACGAGCCTCCAAAGGCTCAATTAAACAGAAGCCGAAGTTAAAGAAGAGCATGTATGCTGTCTCTTCTGTTTCCCTGCTCATCTTAGTAGCTAGCAGCTACTTTGCTTTCCACTTTCTAGCCTTCATATGTCTTCGTGCAGCTCGTCCCTCTTTTATCTCTTTATTTCAGCAAAAGTTGACCAGATCTCACAGCATGATACGTGTCTTACCGGCCATCTCTGTTAGGAGTTCCTCTGTGGTGAGAAGCTGTTAACTCAGTTGAAGAGTAACTTGTGTTGAAGGCAGCGAACTACACCTGTGGCTGCAGTAACTTTGAAACGAAGTGAGCGCTGTAGAAGGAAGTGAGCTTGGGTGCGACCCACGTAGACACTTCCTGGCCCCCACACAGGAATTCAGTTTCTCTTATTCATAAACAAACCGTAGTACTGAACCACTCCCTCTATCTGTGTACATGTTCCCTGCCCACAAACAAACTGACCGAGGAAACTGGGTTCACTCTCACATACAAGGTAGTTGAGACGAAGTTCACTAACAACAGTAGAGGGTAAAATATGAATATAATAAAAAAACGGGGTAAAATATGACTGTGTTGTGATTTGTTTAAATCTTATGGAGAGGAATTGATGCCAAATTGAAATGCAGTCACTACAGTGGAAAAATGTGGAATGCAATGCACACCTGATATTACTTTTACATAGTCAAGCGCAGAATACGTACCAAAATGAAAAACAAAGCCTCTATTACAGTTTTTACGCTGTTTTACTTTTTTTTCACTGATAAACAATGCATTAAGATTTGTATTTTAAAAAGGAAATGCTGAATTCATGTCAGAATTGAAATGTAGTGAAGACATGACTATATTGCTTTTCAAGGTGCTGTACTTAACGTAAAATCAGTGGATGTTTTACTTTGGCATGTTTCTGCAGGTTTAAACGCGTTTTGAATTACAAAAAACAGGTCAAGCGAGGTTTGTTTTTCATTTTGGCTCGTATTTTGCATTTTACTATGGAAACTGTCATGTGTGCACTGCATTTCACATGTTTCCACTGTAATGATTGCTTTTCAATTTGGTACAAATTACTCTCCATAAAACCCAAGGCATTAACAGGAATAGTAATAAACTAGATATATACAAAAATCATTATTTATAGGGTACTTTCTGTTGGGAGGTGTCTGTAAAAAACCCTAACCCCTATATTTACACTTAATACTTCCATTTAGTTTTCAGTGTGTTTACATGCACATGCACAGTCTGATAACTACAGATAATCAGATTTTGTCAGTAATCCGATCAACGCATTTACATGCACTTGAGTAATCAGATAATGTGGAAACTCCAGGTCTACACAAGACAATAAACTCACAGAAGAAGACGTGACGTAAACATAACGTAAAACTCAAACTTCATGCTGCGGCTTTTTTTTTAAACATCGAGCCACTTTACGTTAAAATCTGAACATACATCATCTAGAAGATGAACAATATTTAAATCCTTCATTAGTCAAGCATGTATTTGGTTTCAGCGTCACTCCAACAGTGTTTTGCTGCGTCTCGCGGCGACGCTGCTTGCTTATTTCCAGTACCACAGTCTGTTTTCGCACATGCACAGAGAAATCCCAAAGAAGTCAGAGTTTACATGCGCTGAGAAATCTGATTACTGAGCTCAAATCCAGCCTTTTTATCAGATTTCTTAATCAGATTTCTAGACCTTACTCAGATCTAAGAAATCAGAGTGTGCTGTTTACATGACCATTTAAATAATCAGATAACTGCAGAAATCTGATTATGATTGGATTATTGATTTAGTAAACACACTCAGTGCTGCCTTTTTAAAGATCTTTTGCCTTTCTTTTAAAGTGAAGTTCAAAGATTTAGACTTATTATGTGTTATCATGAATTATCATGAGATAATGAGAAAAAAAATAGCCACGCCCCTTTTAGAGGAGGACGTGAGACTGCATCCCTGTCCCTCATGGCCACATGGTGAGCAGTTAGATCTCATTGTTTTGAAGTAAATGTGTCCCAAACTCTGACAATCAGTGTGAAACATTAAAAATGGTCACTACTGAAACACACATTTTCTGCAATTAAGCAAACTTTTTTAGTGTTTTAGTGAAAAATATTATGATTTTATGTGTGTACAACTGCTCAAAGTTATGTTTACGTTTTTAAATTCTGCTCAAAATGAGCTAAAATTGTCAGTACCAAAACAGTCACTACTGAAACATTTAGTAGAGTTTCAGTAGTGTTATGATTGTTCTGATAGTGACAGAATTGAATGTTGAAGCTCCATTTGTTTTAATAAAATAAATGTAATTAAGGTACACTAAGGTCACTCAGAGCAAAAGGATTCCATTTGTTCAGTCTCTCAAAGAAATCTGCAGGGATATTTTTCCACACCTCCAAAGTTCAGTCTCAGAAGTTGTTTGCACTTTTTGCCTGATTTTCTCATTTCTCTGAAAGTTGAAAGTATGTTTATCTGATGGGCACAGTTTTGGTGGTCTACCAGGTCTGTAGCTTTTTTTTCCATTATTTTTGAACTCCAGTTTTGGAAACTTTCTTCTTCCGTGTGCAAGTGAATTATCTTATATGCGAGTGCTTCAGGTATATCTCAAAGCAAATACTGAGAAATTTGATATTATGTGTAGTTTTGAGGCTTCTGTGTTATTGTTTTCTGTTATTATGTATGTATTTTTTCTCCTTTCTGCAGATGAACTGTCAAAAGTCCAGCTAGAGCTCATTGCCAGAGTTTCTGAAGCTGTTCTTAAAGACTTGATTGATAGTCTTTGAGCTTCAAACCCGTTCTCACCGGTAGAGAAGCCAACCAGAACAGGATACATCTGGACAGACACGTGAGTCAACTCACTTAAAAAACTTCTTGAAATGGAAATCCTGTGTGGCTGTGCAGTTTGTATAATAACTCTTGACTTCTTGTAGGAATTGCGGTATGGACGTGTGTGTGTGTGTGTGTGTGTGTGTGTGTGTGTGTGTGTGTGTGTGTGTTGTTTTTAGTGACATCACAGTTTTCACAGTTTACTTTCCAGATATGGATTTTGGAGTAAATGGTATGTTTTGAAAGGTAATACTACATCAAGTCTTATTTTAAAACTGCGAGGTCACTTTTACGTGATAAGGGTCCTTTAACAGTTTATAGATCCAGAAAAGTAATCTAAACCATTTTATAAAAGTCCTCTTCCTTCATGTTGAGGTGACTTTTAGTGATCTAGTTTGCACCAGCTTACTGTAGTCTGTACATGTAGCAAAGTAGGCCTGCTTTATATACACATCACAGTATTTTTAGGTAGAGATTAGACGCAGAGATAACTTTGGGTGACACAGTAAAGCAGTTTCATTTTTTTGCATTAGCCCAGCAAAGTTCCAGTATACAATGTTATTATAATCATTTATACAATGATTATGACCGTTACATCAATAAAAAGAGTAAAAGATTAACATATTTGCCAATTCAACATTGAAATCGAAAAAAAAACTCCATAGAAAACAAGTCCTGTTTTATCTAATGGATAATGAAAACGGACTCATCGCTGCCATCTGCAGGCCAAATCCCGTCTGTGCAGCAGCATTTTAAGATGGAACAATAAATTCGAATGACATGTCTTGATTAATTCCTCTTCCACTGAGGAATTCCCACCACAATCTTACTCTGCAACAACCTTAGGTCAGTTCACCACCTGGGTGCCAGCACAGAGAACAGTTTGTGTTGGTCCATTTAGTGTACAATGATACAAACTCAAACGTAATTAGAATTTTTAAGGTAAAACAAAAACAAATAAAAAGCGGAAAAATAAAGACTTTTTGAGGTCTTGAGATGAAGGTGACAATATGTATGCGAATGTACATGAAAGTAAAAATAAAAAAAAACATGGATGCAAAGACATGTAATGGATATTAAGTTGTAAAGAGAAAAACAAACAAAAAACTAAAATCACATTTGAATGTAATCCATTTTATTTGGGTATTTTATGGAATTCTGAAAATCGGCTTCTTTCTGAGGGTGAAGCGGGGCTCCGGGGTCATCTTAGCATCACGGGTCGTCTCAACTGTACCACCAAACCAACCTCTCCTTTCCTTTACGTTCACTTTCCCCTCCATCCGGCTGATGTCATCATTCACTTTGGTGAGGATTGTAAGGATGTCATCACCGCTAGAAAAAAGTGAGTACATACACATGCATTAACACTTTGGACCACAGGCTTATTATACAGTAATTAATCTTAAGACAATCATTTAACTACTGATCTCTCAAAAAAAATAAAGGGAACACTTAAACAACACACTATAACTCCAAGTAAATCAAACTTCTGTGAAATCAAACTGTCCACTTAGGAAGCAACACTGATTGACAATCAATTTCACATGCTGTTGTGCAAATGGAATAGACAACAGGTGGAAATCATTGGCGATTAGCAAGACACACTCAATAAAGGAGTGGTTCTGCAGGTGGGGACCACAGACAACTTCTCAGTACCTATGCTTTCCGGCTGAGGTTTTGGTCACTTTTGAATGTTGGTGGTGCTTTCACACTCGTGGTAGCATGAGACGGACTCTACAACCCACACAAGTGGCTCAGGTAGTGCAGCTCATCCAGGTTGGCACATCAATGTGAGCTGTGGCAAGGACAATAGTTTGAATGCAGTTCCTTTAAAATGTTTTGCCTCAGACACTTTATGGCCAAAAGTATGCAGACACCTGACCATTGTTGGACATCCCATTCCCAAACCATTGGCCTTAATATGGAATTGGCCCCACTGTGTGACTAACAGCCTCCACTCTTCTGAGAAGGCTTTCCACACTTGTCTGTGGGAATCTGTCCCCCTTCAGGCAAAATGACTTTAATGAGCTCAGACACTGATGTTGGACGAGAAGGCCTGGCTCACCATTGACGTTCCAACTCATCCCAAATGTATTCAGGTCAGAGCTCTGTGCAGACCACTGGAGTTCCTACACACCAAACTTGTAAAACCATGGTGAGTCTTCCCCAAAATGTAGCCGAGAGGGTGGAATTATATAATTGGCTAAAATGTCTACTGCATCAACATCACAAAACTCAAAGTAGCAGTGAAAAAATATACTCATTAACTGAAATATAAATGGCAGTTGTTACAAATACAAAAACTAAAACTATAATATTCACTGCAATATATCTGAGAACAAAATAGAACTACAATAGTTGTCATATTTCAAGGCATTTATAGTGGCTTTATAGGAGTGGATTCCATACGTCAAAACCTAAAATGTCCAGCAGGTGTCACCAAACAGCCAAGCATAGTTTGATTTTGTGCTAATTTAGCCATGCAAAAATGGCAAAACGTGTTAAAGGGAAACAGCAGAGCGTAGTTTGGGGTGACTTTGAATACAACAGAATCAAATCTGTC